AACCACCATCGGAGGTGGTTTGGTTGGTTGAACGAACTAGTTTCAGTTACAGCAAAAACAAATGAAAAACCGGTTCTGGGTTTAAACTAGTTTAAAACTAGTTTGTGGAACAAATGAACGGTTTACAAAACTGGTTCAAAACTAAACCCAGTTTTTGAGAAACAAATTCACCCTAAGTGTAAGTTAGTTTATATCTGCACCAGCCGCTTAATCTCTTCAAAAAGTGCAATATATTTTTTGGGGGGAATGGAAAATAAATAACACCTAATTAGGGAAAAAATTAATTTTACCTTTTAATTAGGGATGCCAAATCGGTCAATTTTTAATACTCGGCTACTCGGACATTTTTCCGATCAAGTACCCGGGTACTCGGTTAAAGTCTAAATAACTATGAACAAGTTAATTGATAACTGTAAAACATTGTAAACTCTTGTAGAAATAAAACCACATGTTCTGATGGGAGGTTTACCTGTAAATTTGTTGTAACAATTATGATCACTTTGTGTCCGACGAAATTTAATCAAACATTTTTTAAAGTTCAATTTATTTATCAGATACATGTAAATACGAGAAATAAAATCATAAATTGTGGTTTTGTTTTAAAAAAATAACCTATTCCCTAATTGTAATGTAACTCTTTGATGCGTTCGACGTCGAAAATATAAGTCGTCAGAGCTACGTGTACAGTATCAACTTGATCAAGTTTTCCTATAACAGAGCGTATTTACGATCTTAGTACACTTTTCGATCCCAAATTTCATAAAATTATGAGACGATATCGATATGTTGTAGTTTGGTGCAATGATGGACATAAGATTTTTAAAGCGTTTGCATTCAAACCATTTGCAATAAATGGCACGAAATCAAACGCATCCATATTAACCATCGCACGTGCAATATCGTCTATCTCTGTTCCCGAGAATTTACGGCTTCTGGAGAATTGACAAAATTATCTAATAGTAATTTATTTAAAAATAATAAACCTTAAACGATGTTCAGTGAAAACAAATAATTAGAGCAAACTAAATATAAAGGTAGAAGACAGTCGAAGGTGAGTAAAGCCAGGTAGTAGCAGGTGTTCGGTCACGGTCATTACTGTATAAACACTGCCAGAGGCGATAACGGTCATTTAGAGGCGCAGGAAACCCTACTTACTGTATGTACAATTGCAATGAACATTTTACGTTTTAAAAACGATGTTTTAATGCATTAATAAATAAGCTTAGATATATTTAAAAATATACATCCTAGTAACCGAGTACCGATTTTAGTATTCGATACTCGGACGTTCGATCGAGTACCCGGTTAACATGGTACTCGTTGACATCCCTACTTTTAATTTATAATTGGCCGGTCTATTTGTGATTGTGTTATAGAGTGCACATGGAGAAATGAGACGTTATTTTTTTTTATTACAACTAGTTCAGTAAAATAATTCTTAAATGACCAGTAACACATATAAATTCATGAGAAAAATATTTTAAAAACTTGCTTTAAACTAAGTATTAATTGTTGTTATTACATGTATGTTTCAATTGCATTATCATTTCTCATTAGATAATTGATAATGTATGGTTAAATAAAAAGAATTTACAATAGGTACTCCCCCGCCTGGGAATGTGTAAGATATGAAAGGAAATAGTCATGATTTCCGGATAATAATGACGTGGTGAAAGTGCATGGTGAATAAAAAATGAAAAGTTGTTAAACTAGTAAAAGTTGTTTTGAATATGCTACAGCTGTGAATGACACAAGGATACATTCTATGCCCCCAGAACGAAAGATCCCGGGGGATTATTGTTTTGTCCTGTCTGTCTGTCTGTTTGTTTGCTGTTAACTGTCCGTTGTCAACTTTAACATAGCCCATAACTATTGAGTTGGTGGGGCTATGGCTTTCATATTTCACAGGACTGGTGTATTTCTTGTGACAAGACCTTCCTTTTTGTACCGAAAAATCTGACCTCTTGACCTTGGTTTTTGACCTACTTTTACAAAGAAATACCACACATAACCTTGGCCATAAGTTTTAAACAGTTGGAGCTAGGGCTTTCATACTTAAATGTATATATATTGTAACAAGACCTTTCAGCTGGTGTTAATATTTTTTTATCTTGACCTGAGAGTTTGACCCACTTTTTTAAAACTTTAACCTTAGTCATAACTTTTGAAGAGGGCTTTCATATTTCACAGTACAGGTATATTCCTTGTTATAAGACCTTCTTTTGGGTCCAACACTTTGACCTTATGACCTTGACCTTTGGAGTTTGACATTCTTTTTTAGCCATAAGCTACTATACGGGGGCATCAGTGTTTCACAAACACATCTTGTTTTTCTACATTATGCATCGCGCCTTGCAGCATAGCCTTTTCTGCAGAAACTATGGGCATTATAACGGGACAAAGGTCTAGGGTATCAGCACATATTTCATTTTGAGAGGCCTACATCTACATTTTGATGACAATAAAGTATCTTTTAACATTGACTTTATTACATCGATGAATCCATTTGATGAGCAAATGCACTAAAATTTCATTTTTTAAAAAAAATTATTTATTTATATTGCTTAGAAGACAGACTGAAATAAAAATGATCACTATGTCAGCTTTGAATATCTGGTACTTTACTTGCATGGATGCTTTTAATGCTAAATTTTGTTTGCGGCCGATTTGATGATTTGCATCAGTTTATGTTGTTATGCGTTTATAGTGCAATCCAAAGTATTGAAATAGCTGAAAAAAGCTATTATAACAAGAGTGATAATAGGGAAAACTGTGTATATTTATTAGAAATATTTCTAAAACGTGATCCGTAATCTGTTGATACATCTAATTAAACACTACCTATAATTTTATTATATATCTCTTTTGATATCTTTAAACTTTTAATAACTTCGTTATATCTATGTCATTCCAAATAAAAATCAGCCAAAAAAATATATGTCCATCCGTGCATGTAATTTTGTTTGTATTGTGTAATTTTTTTTATAGAAAAATTGAGAGAGAAAAACAATAATCGAGCAAAATAACGAAGCACAGTAAATGTGCTAAATGGCCTTTAAGACGAGTCTTATCATTAATGCTTACCTTGCTCAATTTTATCTTGTTTACTGATTAGTCAGAAATGTGCAGCATTTTAAAACGGAAAAGGAAGGAAGGACTAGTGTATACTGTTGACGTCGTGTTCAGTATCTTTTTAGTTTTTACGTACCACACCTTCCGAAATCTTAATCATTACACGGGTTTTCCGATTGGGATCCAACATTTATATCTGATGCTGGATAATAACAGCTAGAGATTTAAAAAAAAAAGTTGAATAAAATTCGGTTTTTCGCAAAAGGGACTCAATTTTATGCTAATTTTCATTTTCATTAAATTACGTACACAGCAATAAGAAACTAGTGGTACTGTGTGCAATGAACTCACTAAATGATGTTTATGATGGCAAAGTCAATGTTTTGCTGTGGCCGGGAAACCCAAAATATGTGTCGGATCAAAAAGTAAACTAGTAGGTGCACAATGGCAATATGTAATAAAGAGTCTGTGAAAGTTTCATTAAATTTCACTCAGTGGTATAAGAGGAGTTGCAGATAAGAGCTGGGTACCCAAAAGCCGTTACGATTTGTGTACCTAGTATGTCTTATCCTCAACTCCTCTTATACCACTGCATGAATGAAATTCATGAGACTTTCACAGAATCGTTGTTATATAGTGCCATTGTGCACCTCCTATTTATACCCCCCGCTTGAAAAGCGGGAGGGTATATAGTAATCGTTAATTCCGTCCGTCTGTACGTCTGTCTGTCCGTCTAGCCGTCCGTCCGTCTGTCTGTTACGCTTTGGGGTACCCATCTCTTATCCGCAACTCCTCTCATACCACTGAATGAAATTTGCTGAAACTTTCATAGAATCTTTATTACATATTGCCATTGTGCACCTCCTATTTTACTTTTTGATCCGACATATATTTTGGGTTTTCCGGCCACAGCAAAACACGGACTTTGCCATGATAACTATATGGAGGCGGGTTTATAATTACTTTTTGATCGGACACATATTTTGAGTTTTCCAGAGCAAAACATTGACACTGCCATTTTTGGTATCTGGTCTCTGACCAGTAGAGCTTATGCGATAGTAATGCGTCCGGCGTCTGTCCGGCGTCTGTCTGTCTGTCTGTCTGTTTGTAGACAATTTTTCAAAATACTACTTCACCTACAGTTTTTGTCTGATTTCATTATAACTTGGTTCACAAGTAGACTATATATACTAAGATGAAAATGGTGCAAAAAATAAAGAAAACGATATGGTTTAGGCTTAAATATGCCCTAAAAATTTGATGTTCTTAACAAAAATTGAGTAAATGAATATGATAAATCATTAAAGAAAATGGTATAAAGGAGGACCATTCTTGAAATATGACGTCACTAATTTTGTACATTTCTAAGTTTAATGCAGAAAAGTCTCAGAATGACTTATTTTTGCGATTATTTTCCTTTAGAAAATAGTGTCTGCCACCGTCGCCCGCTTCAAATTTTGGATATATTATGTAACCTGCTTTAGAAAATAACATATCTCAAAATCTTTGTGGGCGACGGTGGCAGAGTATGTTTTCTGAAAGAATATTCCAATGAAAATTGATGTCTTCTGCAACTTTTTAAGAAAATACGGAAAATGCACAAGTTAATGACGTCACAATTAGCATTTAGGAAGTCATATGAGAAAAACGATTTCTGTATTCTTGCTACATGTACATGGAATTCTTATCATTAAAAAAGAATGAATTAAATTTCTTTTATCACTGTCAATTTTTTTTTTAAAAAAAACGGGCTTAGTTTGTATTGAAACTGTACCTTGTTCTTTCTAGAATATAAAGATATTGTAAACCTTCTATGATGTGTAAAATTCTGCCTCTCCCAAACTTTTTTTTTATCAATCTATACAAATATTTTTCACTTCAAATCCCATTTTAATGAAAATTTGAATAAAAAATTAAAAACTACACGGTGAAACTTTTTCCTTTTACTAATTAAAACAAGAGTCAAATTAATATTTTCAATTTTTTCAGACAAAAGTTTGATCGTATCACTATGCCGAGTTTAGGACAAAATGTGCAGATCTCCATCGTCATGTGGTGGCGTATCCATATATGAATGAAAAGATTCTCTGGAGGGACGTTAACAATAACCTAACAAACAAAATTTTAAACACGCGCAAGCAAAAAACAACCGGCAAAATGCAGAAAGTGAACCTAAGGAAATGAATGGAAGGGGTGTGTGTGACGGATACATGACCTTCAAAGGTTAAAAAAAAAGTGTAATAAAATTTCAATGAAATATAACATGACCGTTTGACATACATAAATATTTGATATGATATATACATGTAGTCATGAAAATTTAATTCTTTTTTCACAAATTGGTATTTAAATTTTAAATTTAGATTCTGGCATACACAATGAATCATCTCTTCATTTTGTTTCTTACGTTTGGAGTGTAAATTGTCATAATGCATAAAGGACATCGTCTCAAGCCACGGTTCGGAGTTCTCAGAATGGAAGAAAATTGTACATTTTGGCCGTAGTTTACGACTATGCGTAAAGGGATGAGGCTGCTTTTCAGACATTTACTTTAATCTCTCTTCTTCAAACAAACTTGATAAGGAATAGCAACATGAAATCCCCTGGACATCCCTTTCAGAGATGGAAGGGGTTTTCCAGCCTCGTTTTCAATATCATAGTCCCTCACCAGTGTCGTTAGGAAAAGGAACATTTCCATTTTACCAAGGTTTTTGGCCAGACAATCTCTGGGACCTAAAATAAAGAAATACAGGTTCATGTATGAGTTCCATCTAGACAGCACATCTTGCTTAAAAATTTAAGAATTTGGAAAATAATTAGGGAAAACAATCATTTAAAAAGTTTGATAGCGTTTAATAAAATCATACCCATTGAAAAGGATGCATAAACCTTTTCATATCCAAACAATTCGCCGTTTTCATTAATGAATCGTTGTGGTTTAAATTTTTCGGGTTCTGGAAATATTTTCGGATCCAAATTGACTGTACACAAGGCTGCCATCAGCCAAGCATCTTTTGGAAGCGTGTATCCATTGACTGTCAAGTCTTCCGAGAACGTGTGTGTTGGAGGAACCACAACAGTGACAGACAGACGTAGGACTTCATACATTACTGCACGACAGTACGGCAACTTCTCTTGGTCTGCCATAGTAACAGACTTATCAGTTCCAACATTTTCTTGAATTTCCTTGCGCATGCGTACTACTACATCTGGGTTGTGCAAGAGGTACAAAATGTACCAATACAACTCATGTATGGCCGGGGTACTTGTAAAGTACAGTACATACCCCATAACAACGAGGTCCCTATCTGAAACAGAAATCGACATTATATAAAATCGTTCCTGTTTTTGAGATTAGTACAATTGGTGAAGCCAAAAGGAGTACAATATTTTGCATTTAACAAGTCTATTAAAAACTTCGGAGATGTACTAGACTGGTATAAAAATGAAGCAAGCGATGGTCTATTTGATTCATATTGAATATTTGTGTTAGTGTCTCTGTCGGAAATTAAAGACATGGAACTACATGTAGTGTTTGACTACTAGTAATTAAGACAGAAATTAAGACATTTATTTCATACAACTACATCAGCTACTCCAGCATGCAAGGGGTTCAGGGCGAGATACTTTTGACTTGGCGCCGAGGTATATAAGGAGCGTAGGGACCTTAACCGAGGCTTGTAGGAGTACTGTATCAGCTAGCCCTACTTTATATAGGTCATGGTTGGAGACAGATAAAGAGAAAGAGAGAGAGAGAGAGAGAGAGAGAGAGAGATTTACTTGCCTCCAAACCCTTCCAGACTTTCATTATTTGATTTTCTCTTTTTCTGTTCGTTCAAAAAACTATAAATAAAATCAAAGGTCTTTGGATTTTCTAGTGTTTCCTTGTGCTCGTCAATAGATTTCTGAACGATTTTGAAGATTTCATCGACCAGACATCGTCTCCTTCTAACTTTAAATGGATCCCCTGGTATGTACTTCAGCCATTCCATAAAATTCAGTAGTCCTTGATCAGGAAATATATCCATGGCTTCGTCCACTAAATCCACCAGTCTTGTGAGAGTGGCATCCTCATGAGCAAATCTTTGTCCAAACAGAAGAGAGGATATGATGTTGTAGTGACTTGTTTTGATAAGCCTGCTTACGTCAAATGGTCGACCTTCCATTTTATCTATTTCATTGAGGAAGTCTGATACTTCTCCTAAAACTCGGGATTCAAGGTCATCACTGCCTGAATCAATGGCTTGCAAGGTGTCATGTCCAAATTTTCGTTGATTCCTCCAAATTGTACCAGATCCCCCTGCGATTCCTGTGATTATTATAAGCATTACTAAATAATTGTTTGTATTATATAAATGCAAATTATCACCTATGAATAACATAAAGCTGAAGTCAACCATAGTTTCGAGGACCGATTGAAAATTCGGATTCAACGTATTTACGTTAAACTTGAATTAGAGTAAAGCATGCCTAATGTTCAATGAAGTAATTTTCATTCACGGAGGTTATTTATCATTTCCTAAGCCTAAACCATTAATTTTAAGTTCAAAAGGAGCTTCTTGCAAAACTTCTCCCCCAATACGACACTATCAGACTATTGTACAATTTTTGCTTTCACTTTATTATTATTTAATAAAACTCAGAATAAAAAGTAGATATTAGATTTTATTACAGTTACTATAGAAAAATGGAGAAGTTTATAGTATGGAAACCTTTTTTTAAAAATCGACGTAAAGAAAGTTTCTGGTAGACAAAATATGACGTATGGTTTTCTGTATTACATTATGCCATCCTGCTACCAAAGATCTGGGGAAGGGTTGTAAAATGAAGATCGACCAGTAAAATTCTATCATTTAAATCCCTTGAAAGGATTAGGGGAAGTAATGAACTTCTTTTGCATAGGGACGTGAAGTACATGCATGGTTGAGTTAATTGACTGCATGAGTCACGAAAGTTACTTTAAATAGTATTATTCTTATTTTAGTATCAGCTAAACATCTCTATGTACCAAGTATAATATGTACCTGTTAGTTCAAAATATTCCGAAAATCCAAACGTTGCAGGGTGGGCGGATGTTGATTCGCCATGCTTAACTAGAACTTCTTTGATTGTGTCATAACCACAGACGACAATGATAGTCTGACCAAAGACCTTCAGCGTTATCAGATCACCGTGTTTCTTTTGTAGGTCGCTGTAAGGAAATGTGTGTTTAACAGTACAAGCTTAGCAATATTTTCTTATGTTTCAGTTTATCATGTTTATCCATGTTTTTCCCTCATGTTTACGATCATTTTTACATGGCAATTGCAGAGATTTATTCATTTGTAAATTATTTTGATAACATTCTCTATCTAATTGTAAAGATTCCTTCATTTCTTTTCCAATTGTACAGATTAAATCCTTTGTAAATTGTTCTGATAAAATTCGTTTTCCAGCTTCATAAACATTGCATAATTTCATACTTTCAAATAGGAAAGAATGTCTACGTTTCCCAGGTATGGTTTCCATACAAACTTTGCCCTGTTATTTTCTTTAAAATGAAACTGGTGTAAAGTTGAAAACTCATGCTTTTTAAATAATTGAAATTCAATTCAGAATAAATCATACAAGTCATTTTTCTCACATGTGTTTTTAAATGATAATTATGACGTCAAAGACATGGCATTTTCCCGTATTTTCTTAAAAATGTTGCAGCTATTACATGAAGTACAGTATTCAAAAGTAAAAAAAAATATTTTCAACGGAATTTTCTTTCAGATAACAAAATATGATATTTCATTTGGTTGGCTGCCACAGGCATCGCCCACAAAGAAGTCTTGAGATATGTCATTAGTTATTGAATTTTGAAAAAATTCAAAATATAGAGCGTTGCTATTGTTAACGTGGGCGACGGCTGTGGACACCCCTTGAAATGTGCCATTTTGAGGCTTTTTCTGGTTGAACAGTGTTGTTTTAATTAAGAAATGCTTCAACATAAATGACGTCATATTTGCAGAATTCAATAAACCTGCCTGCCATATTCTTTCCTTTTTTCTCAGAGTCTTGATTTATTTAACAAATAGTTAAGCCAGTTTCAAAACAACCATATTTTTGATGTCATTACATTTTTAGGGCGCAATAAGGCTAAAACCATACCTTCTTCTTTAAATAACTTACAGGAATATGGTTTTTGAGCTTCTGGTTTGATGTCTACGTTTCCCACGAACTTTTTGATTTCCAGGTTCATAGCCACAGATTCCAAAATCGTCATCACGTGACCAAAACATTTTTTCGCCAAAAACCGTTACCAGTAGAGCAGTAGTTTCTTCCTGGAGAATTACTGGCAGAGAAATAAAATGGTATTCTTAAAAAAAATGGACAGACCATCACACATTTAATTAGTCCGAAATATCTGACGTTTTCCATGCTTTTTTTTTAAATAGGATTTTGATATTTTACATGTCACGAAAACGTTTTCCCTTACGTAAAATGGGAAATCGCCGCCTCCAACCGGAGGCGGCATTCTCTGGTAGATTTTAGATACTTGCGAACCGAATTAAATTTCAAAGCCATAATTTATCAATAGTACAATATATTTAGTACTTAGCAATGTCAAAATATACCATCTGTTGAAAACATTTTATTAGACCGTCGAGATTTGTCTCCATTTTGTGAATTTTAAAATCTTGCAAGGTCTGTAACGAAAAGTGGGGTAATCTTTTCTTTCCATTGATATTGGTGAGTACTAGAGACATTGTGCTATTGATAAATTCTGATTTGGCATTTAGTTTGGTTCGCAAGTATCTAAAATCAACCCTGGTTCCCTAGACGGTGAAATTCCCAGTTTTCGTAATGGCGCGCCGGTTCTGACGTTTTCCTGGCAAGTAAAATATTAAATCGTAAAAAAGCCTGGAAAACGTCAGATATTTCGGACTAACATTTAATTAGACCAGAGACATATCTCTTATATGTCTCTGATTAGACCGATTATACTCTCTCTCTCTCTCTCTCTCTCTCTCTCTCTCTCTCTCTCTCTCTCTCTCTCTCTCTCTCTCTCTCGTGTTTACAACACGCATGCGCATTAATAAGGTACTTGTTGCATTTCTGCAAGTGACAACGCCGTAGCTCAATGTGATAACGCGCTAACGCGTTGTATATACAACTCGCCGTCGCGCACATGACACCGTCGCGCTTACATAACTGATAAATTACAAATGCGCTAGCGCGACGGCTTGTTGTGTAAAGTTGCGATAGAGTAACTTAGGCGTTCTGTGTGTTAGCACGGCGGTGTGTCATGAAAAACCAGTCTGGCTAAAGCTAGCTCCTACTATTTCACTTCGTTCGAAGGATGGCTTTAGTCAGACTGCATGAAAAACGTGCTAGCAGGTTGCCACTTTGCGCTTGCGCGTTGTTCATAACGCTTTGTAAATGACCCTATCAGGACACCATAATAAAGGATAAACTTTGTTGTCTCCTCACTCATATAAAATATTGCTTGAATCTTAATGTTTTCTAAAAGAAATGTATTTTATAAGTCCCACCCTGTTAAACAGGACCTGTGACCGGTACTCTTTAGTCGGTATGCCATTTGTCCTTCCCGGAAAAAACAGACAATAATTATAGCATAGCTTGCGGGGGAAAATTGGACAAAAAGAAGACAATTCAACTTGGCAAATTTATAAAGGAATAATAGACATTTATGACACTAAGAGTTATCTCTCTTATCAGAGTATCGATGAACATTAAATACACTTGCATGAAAAAATTCAGGGTGTTAGTTAATTTGTAAATTTTTTTGAGTGTGTAGATTGAAGAGGAAATGCATTAATAAGTCACCCCAAAGATAATTTATCTAAATCTGCTTGAAGATTAGTATTTAAACTGACACAGCTTTGTAAGTCATTAGACTTGGTTTTGATCCTTAGTCACAAGAAAATGAAACTTTTTTGTATACAAAATTGATAAGTCATAATTTCTAGCAAAAATTTTGTCGTATTCATCATCTGTTTGACTGTAATACATGAGTAAGAGATATGATGCTTACCATCAAATGTGCCGTCCCTGTATGTGGGTATTAAATGCAAGTAATTAAAGCAAAAAAGTGAGTAAAAAAGCTACCTGGAGTGGGTTTTTAAATACCTCGGTAGCTAGGGCATGGTAAATGCAAGTTAGTTTATATCTGCACCAGGCGCTTAAACTCTTCCAAAACTTAAAGTGCATTTTTTTTTTTTTTTTTGGAATGGAAAATAAATGACACCTAATTAGGGAAAAAATAAATTTTACATTTTAATTTATAACTGGCCGCTCTATTTGTGACCGTGTTACATGTAGAACGTGCACATGGAGGAATATGAGAAGTTATTATTTTTTTATTATTACAAGTAGTTCAGTAATATAATTTTCAAAGTTAATTGTAACATGTATAAAGTCATGAGTAAAATATTTTTAAAACTTTAAACAAAGTATTAATTTTTGTTTAAAGAAATTACAATAGGCACTTCCCAGCCGGGAGTGTGTAAGATATATGAAAGGAAATCGTCATGATTTCCTGATAGTAATGACGTGGTAAATTAAAAGTGCATTAAAAAAAAAGAGAGAGAAGTTGTTCAACTAGTAAAACTTATTTTGAATATGCTACAGCTGTGAATGACACAAGGATAATTTTTATGCCCCCAGATCGAAAGATCGCGAGGATATATTATTTTTTGTCCTGTCTGTCTGTCTGTCTGTTTGTCTAGCTATTTTCTGTCTGTTGTCAACTTTAACCTATAACCCATAACTATAGAGTTATATATATAGCTTTTGCAGTGATACCGGTATTTTATACATGTATTGCACACGTTCACGTTCTGTCCTCAGTTGTCAAAATTTTATGCACGACGTGTACAAAATATTAATATTTTATATTAAAAGAAATCTTCATATACATTTAAAGCATGACGCAGTCAAATCTTATATTGATATATGTTATGTATTGGTATTTTTTATGCGCTTCAGTACATAATTTGATAATTCTACAAATCCACGGTAGAGGGGATCTGAGCATCCTCCTCTTTTTCCATTGGGGGGGGGGGGGTGTCTCAAAATTAGCTTGTTTATTGTGACCATAGCTTATGTTTACAAGTCTCTGTATACACAACTAAATGTAATGAAAGTAATAAATTCCTTTAAGGATGAATAACACTAACTTATTATCAGAAATCGGCAATATTTATCACAGATTTACCGTTGTTTAAGGTAATCATAATTATCATTACCAGGTATAGGGGGGGTGATTTTTTTTTAAAGATTTTGTCATAAGGTTAACAATTTTTCAAAATTTTGTATAGAATTATATATTAGAGTGTCAAAAAGCCTCGTATAGATCTAACACCAAAGGAAAATTACAACTTCGTTATATTTTAGGGAATTTCCACTTACATGACTTATGTCATTCCAAATCAAAATCAGCCAGAAAATGTATATATTATATATATTTACATTTGCAAATGTTTTCCCTTATATAACACTACTGAAAGGAATGCGTATCTATTTAAGAAATAAGGTATCATTTTTAAACATCTATCGGGATATAGATACGGGTTGGTCACGAGATTAAATTCCATAAAGCCCGAAGGGCTTTATGATGAATTTAATCTTGTACCAACCCGTATTTATAGCACGATAGATGTTTTAAAATGATACCTTATTACTTATATTTACATTTGTGACTTATTCATACTTTATATTTGCCTGATTATGACTTTTAGCGTGTGACATGTATTATTTTTCAAACTCAACGGCAAGTATGTAATCCATTGAACGCGCGTCGACCCTTTATGACGTCCCTGAGAAATTACGTCAAACGATTATCCATACGCACATCTATGACCTATTGACCCCGTACCTGTATTTATACAGTTATGGATACGCATTCCTTTCAGTAGTGTTATATAAGGGAAAACATTTGCAAATGTAAATATAACTGTATAAATACAGGTACGGGGTCAATAGGTCATAGATGTGCGTATGGATAATCGTTTGACGTAATTTCTCAGGGACGTCATAAAGGGTCGACGCGCGTTCAATGGATTACATACTTGCCGTTGAGTTTGAAAAATAATGCATGTCACACGCTAAAAGTCACAATCAGGCAAATATAAAGTATGAATAAGTCACAAATGTAAATATAAGTAATAAGGTATCATTTTAAAACATCTATCGTGCTATAAATACGGGTTGGTACAAGATTAAATTCATCATAAAGCCCTTCGGGCTTTATGGAATTTAATCTCGTGACCAACCCATATCTATATCCCGATAGATGTTTAAAAATGATACCTTAATTATTTCTTAAATATATAGTATATATATATATATCAATCATGCATCCAATTTCGTTTGAAATGGGTATTTTTTTTTTTTAAATTGAGCATGTTGAGAGAGAAAAAACAATTACCGAGAAAAATAATGACGAACAGAAAATGTGCTAGAAGCCTTTAAGGTCAAGATCTAGTAATGTCTTTAGACCCACTTTTTGCTGCTAGATCCATTATGACGTCATAATCACTTTCAACTTTCTTTTTCCCGTACTTTACGGCTCTAATAGAATTATGTAGAAAATAAAGTATTTTCATGGTATTCAATTTGAAATCACCTGAAAAGTAGTCCGGATACCTATATTAAATTTAACATTATTTAAAAGAAGAGACCAAGAACATACAAATTACCGTTTTCCGAAAGACTGTAGGCAATCTGGATACATTTTGTTTGTGTGATTTGGAAAAAACTCCCATATTCATGACTAATTTTCTTAATTTTTCATTGAAGATGACAGTTCAAAATATGGTTTTTCATCTTATTTTCCTACAAATTATGCCCCGAAACACCTTTTTTGACCAAGCTAAAGTTATAAAGCATCATGAAAGGAATTCATTTCTTGAATTTGATAAATCTGTAGGCACCCTTCATTTACTAGATCTTGACCTTAAAGACGAGTCTTATCATTTATGCTTACCTTGTTCGATTTTTTTCTTGTTTACTGATTAGTCAGAAATGTGCAGCATTTTAAAACGAAAGAGGAAGGAAGGATTAAGGTGAACTGTTGACGTCGCGTTCAATCTTCTTATGCGCCACACGGGTTTCCGATTGGGATCCAACATTTTTTAACTGGTGCTGGATATATAAATAATAAAAAAAAAACAGATAAAAAGTTGTATGAAATTCGGTTTCTCAAAAGGGACTCCATTTTGATTAAGCTGATGTTCATTTTCAGTAAATTTTGTACACAACAATAGGAAAAGACATAGGCGTCGGAATGGGGGGGGGGGTAGGGGGTTGTTTAAGGCTTGAGGCTTTGTCCCTATACATTTTTATACCCCCCGCTTGAAAAGCGGGAGGGTATATAGTAATCGTTAATTCCGTCCGTCCGTCTGTTACGCTTTGGGGTACCCATCTCTTATCCGCAACTCCTCTTATATCACTGAATGAAATTTAATGAAACTTTCAAAGAATCTTTATTACATATTGCCATTGTGCACCTCCTATTTTACTTTTTGATCCAACATATATTTTGGGTTTCCCACAGCAAAACATGGACACTGCCATTTACACACATATGGGAGGCGGGGGGTATCATTTAGTGAGCCCATTGCTCACAGTACCTCTAGTTTCAGTTGGTGTAGCCCCCCCCCCCCCCCCGACTTCTATAATTTTGCTGAAGAATGAGGGAGGCCTGTGGGCCACAACGCTCACTTGAGTCACATTAACCGAGATATTTCTTAGAGGAAGATATTGCAAAAAAGGGTTTTTCTAAATGTCTTCTTATTTAGAAGAAAATTTTAACCATATATTCGAAAACAACCTAACCCAAGGGTTACGATTTAGCTTCACTTAAACCAATAAATCTATAAAAAGTAAAAGAGTGTTTCATTGCCAATATGAGTATCATTATATATCAATTACTCATTTCACAAAAGAAATACAGAAAATAGAGAAACACTCGATAAGAATGGTCACTGGGACTGAATTTATTACATTAAAGCTGAACACAGTCCGTTAATAGGCTTACGCCATATTCGACAATGTTGTCTACTATATCAACACCAGGGTATACTCTTCGCATTCGTTACACCTGACTGCTTTATTGTCACGGGAATCGGCGTGAAACGGCCACTTGCGTTCGTGCTGGCTTTCTTGTAATACCTTTGTTTACATTTTATTGCAGTTACTTGTACATGTATTTGTGTTTATATACTGCACTGATCTGTACAACTACTGTTTCTTTGGTATTTTACTTTTCTGCTTTAGAAGAAATATTTCAGTTATTGTTGTCCCTACCGAGTGCTGTATAACATACGTTCGTCTACATCGGCGTCGACTAATTACTCTGAACAGTGGTTAAGTCAGGCCCTTTATATAGGGGTCCTCAAATATAGTGAGAGTCCGATCGAAAATGGCGGGTGCATTCTTTTGATGAATCGTGTTCAGCTTTAAGAAAACGGTGAAAGGCGTCTGGAGATTAGTAAAATATTCCTTATAATGGAGATTTCCTTGTGACCGGGCTCTTTAAACCGAGTTTACTGTTTATATGAAATACATTATATACATGTACTTTTTAAGCTTACTCTTTTTCTTTTCTTTTTTTTTAAAGTGTCTTGACTTAAATTAGTTAATCTATACAGTCAGAAGATATATCAGCCACGTCTAGGTGTAGATAGCACCCTCTTAAACTTAAAATTCTGCCCTTCTCTCTCTCAGGTATGTCGCTTCTTGGGGAATTCTCCTCACCTTTTTTCCAAGCTCATCATTTGAAAATGTTCATTGAAAGTCTGCTTGTCTCGCCCCTTTTTGTTGTAGCATAGTCATTTGGTATGTATTAACAAGAGGTCCAGGGGCCACATCGCTCACCTGAGCAATTTGCAAGGAAAAAGCACATATTTAACCTCCCAGGGGGTCATGGTTTGAACAAACTAGAATCTACACTGCCTAAGGATGATTCCATATAAATATCACTAAGCATCGATTTGAAGTACTTGAACAGAGGATTTTAAAATGCTTTCCTATACATTCCTATGTAAAACTTTGATCGGCCATTTTGGCCCACCCTTCCCCCGGGGGTCATGATTTGAAAAAACTTGATTCTACACTACCTGAGGATGCTTCCACATTAAGTTTTATCTTTCCTGGCCCAGAGGTTCTTGAGAAGATGTTTTAAAGATTTTCCCTATATATTCCTATGTAAAACTTTGATTGGCCATTTTGGCCCCCTCCCTACCCCCGGGGGTCATGATTTGAACAAACTTGAATCTACACTACCTGAGGATGATTCCATATGAGTTTCATCTTTCCTGGCCTAGAGGTTCTTGAGAAGAAGATTTTTAAAGATTTTTCCTATATATTCCTATGTAAAACTTTGATCAGCCATTTTGGCCCCACCCTACCCCCGGGAGGTCATGATTTGAAAAAACTTGAATCTACACTACCTGAGGATGATTCCACATGAGTTTCATCTTTCCTGGCCCAGTGGTTCTTGAGAAGAAGACTTTTTAAAAATGCCATTAATTTTTTTCTAATTCATAATTTTTTCCCCTTGGAAAAGGGCATGGCCCTTCATTTGAACAAACTTGAATCCCCTTTACCCAAGAATACTTTGTAGCAAGTTTGGTTGAAATTGGCCCAGTGGTTCCTGAGAAGATGAAAATGTGAAAAGTTAACGACAACAACGACGACGACAGACAAAGGACAAATTTTGATCAGAAAAGCTCACTTGAGCCTTTGGCTCAGGTGAGCTAAAAATTAAAAATACTGTTTGTAAAGTAAGTTGGAACCAATAAACATCCATTTTTTTTTGCTTGTGTCAGTTTTTGTGTTTTGTGGGGGGGGGGGGGGTAAGTTGCCAATTTTATTTTCAGTTCGTACTCCCCCTTTTCGAAAACAAAACGAAATCCTTGCCCTTAGAGTCTAAAAATTATTATCTTTGAATATTAAATTTTCTTAAATATATAGGGTGATTTTCTAAATGAACTCAATATGTAATTTCTCATATTCCATAAGTTGAAAAATATTAAAACCAACATGCATGACGTTTTTTCATAGTTTTATTTTTATAAATCAGCATACATTAACAGTAGCAACATAATAGAATCTTTTCTCATACAAGACATGCGACATCTAGTGGTAATCAAAAGTGTAAAGGGCAGTTAACTCTGACCATACAGGTATGTCAAAAAAGCAAAGGGGGTGGGGCTAAGCCTAACTATACGTGAAAAATGCATGATTAACAAAATACATACCCTTTGCAGAATGCCATGTATATATTTTAAACCACTACTGTTTAGTGTAAATCTGTATCAAAATAAACTAGTACAATTTGTAGAATCTATATGATCTTGCTGGAACAAAATCTATTTACTTATAAACTATAAAACAAAGAGGCTGCATATTCAAGACTTAATAGATTATTTTAAATATATATGTATATTTCAATAACAAAACATCGATAAAAGTACACCTATGGAAATTAATAAAACAATAAAATAAAGAAGGGGAAATTTTTTTTCTTGCTTTGCAATATTGTCATTGCACATAACGAATATGAATAACAATCCATCAAAAACACATATTATTGCATTAGTAAACACTGAAAGTTCATATACAAATATCATGAAAATAAAGCAATAACTTTTAATTAATTAATTCATATATAATTATATACATTTACTCAACGTACAAAACTCAACCATTCTTTATTTAAGAATATAATACATAGGGAAGCACGATTTTTGTCCACTTAAAAAGTAAGGTCAATGATTCCTTTTTTTTCTCTCTAATACCAGACAATGACACAAGTTCTTAAACTATGTTATATTTGTAAACTAAATGCTAACTGTGTCATTTGTAGATAATTATATAAGTCAATGGCAAGATGGGTACATAGCACAATTTATGCACCTCACATTAATAAACCCTTACAATGCCCTCGATTCCTAAAAATATCACTTTGAAATTGATCGATTTCAGACTTTATTATGAAAAAAGTATTGAGCATTTGATATGGACAAGCATAATGAATAAGTGTAAAATATATAAAGCATGCTGGAAAAAATTCATCATTTATCAAACTCGGGTATTAAGTACATTTTGTCATCTCACATATATACCAAGTACAGTGCACAGCATACTAAAAAAAATTCTGTCTACCTATCTATTCACTTGCATAATTTGAGTTTCAACTGTGTAACAAAATATAGCCCCTAGGAAAAAAAATGATTCCATTTAAAAAAATGATAATTATTATAACTCTAGCAGCACCAATTTGAAATAAGAACTTGTTCCAGTGGCTATCAGATCTTAGAACACTTGGTATGAACAAAAAATGTTACTGTCACATGATATAACGATGTTCATCATTAGATGAATGAATGAAAATATAATATATATATATTACTTTATGCCACACGTAATTTGAAAAAAACCTAAAATAAAATCCAGACACACTTTTAATCGACGTGTACACAGAATGGACTTCCGGGGATTTGTTGGTCTCCCCACTTCACGACCAGCATGTAATCTCCGCGCTCGCGGACAATATAGTTAATTTTGTATACGTAGCCTCCTTGGTTTTTGACACACAATTCTTCACACGGTCCCTTAGGGCCCATCATTCCAACAAACATCATGTTATTACCTGGAACAGAAAAAAACATCATCAATAAGAGTTGTTTTGATAAATTTGTTCGTAAAATATCTCTAAATGATTTTCCACATGAAAAGGATGAAAACTTAACTTTGATTGCCTAACCTCTTTACATAAGCTGACCTAAAACTTTGTATGCATAGTAAGTTTTAAACCAGGACTTAAAGTTGAAACCATATTAGACAAGAATTCAGATCACACAACATCAGGAGTAGACAAGTTTTACTGTACTTTACAAGGAATCTGTACCTGTAGGTTTCTGCATTTGAATCTCGTTTAAATAATGAAAAACTACTCAAAGCCTGTGAAGCCTAAAACTCACTCAATGTCTGAGTAGTACTCAAAGGCTTTCGAAGCCGAAAACTTGCTCAATATCTGAGTAGTACTCACCGGCTTGTGAAGTGTCCACACTGAATGTGGCTTGTTTTCCTCTGAAAGCTTTCTTCAGACCCATTCCCTCCGCTGTACACCGACTGGCATCCGACTGGAACTTCTGAAGTCCGCTGAACTTACTCATTACACTGGTCTTTGTGACGGTTTCCACGACAACAGATGCCTGTTCATGGTAACCACTGGGTTTGCCTGGACCTGTAACATCAACATTGAACTTTCTCATTAAATTTGGATTATTGGATTCATGAATATTGGTGCAGAAAACAGCTATAAAATTTACATTGTTTTATTTTTGCATGTTTAAAATACTTCCTTGGCTAATAAAAACATTTCATATTCAAGATATTTTATGGAATTGCAATGAGAAATATTCCTGAGTAAAGTAAGCTCATGAACATTATGGACATTTTTAGCTCCAGAAATAACAAAAAATATTTCCTGTATTTCATTACTGTAGAAAGGTCAATACAACAAAATTTCTCCCCACATCCCTTGTTTCCCCCTGAACCCTTACCTTCAATCTTGGCTTTAAATGGACTTCCAGCGATGTTGACGCCGGCGTATCGGATCCCGATCATGTAGTCCCCAGGGGCAGTGGGGCTGTAGGTGAACTCATAGCCCTCGTCCACCTCCTTACATTCCAGTTTGACCTTGGAGGGACCCTCAACGGTGACCGCTAGGGCACCAGCTCCAGCGTTACAGGTGTTGACAACAAACTTACATGTCTGACCTGAAAAAGTAGATAAATCTTATAGATTTTTCTTGAAGTTCAATATTTTTTTTCTTTATTTGAATCATTCTTTATAATTTTTAAGTAAATACATGTATGCTACAAATAGCATTATTAAACAAGTCATCAATTTTTCAATCAAGTCTACTTTGAAATATAAAATCAACTAACTTGGGTAGAAAGGATTTATTAGTCATGAAAAGGTCATACATTATGTCAGAGGTAGAGCATCTTAAGACAAAACAAATAAATTTCTTTCTAATCTCCCCCCCCTGAAGTTTGTCACACCCCTCCTCACCTGTCTGACCGGTGCGGAGTCCGTCTCCGGATGCTGTGACCATTCCTGGGTCAGCGTCCACTTTACCGACCAACACTCTGAATGGACTGTCAGGGATGTCACATCCGTCAAACGTCACAAACACATTGTGGACTCCATTCTCTCTGGGGATGAACCTAACTGCATACTCTCCTGATAGGAAAGAAATCAATTATTGTATGACTGATCATTACAAACCTAACCACATGCTCTCCAATTGTAAAGAAAATCAAATTTTGCATCACTGATCATTTATATTCAAAAAATTTTACTCACTGCAAATGCCATTTGTGAATTTGCAAGTGCAACACAAATTTGGATCAAAGGGAGATAACTCTTACCATCATCTATTTCCTGGATGAGAGCCTCTTCTTCAGTTCCTGATGGGGAGATAACTCTGGCTCGGAGTTTACCCTTGGAAGCACCATTGAAGTTGACAACAAAGGCTGCTGGTTTTCCAACCTAAAACAGAGATCAGTATTAATTCTAGAACTTCTTACAAATACCTAGCATTGATCATATTTAAAAGTACTATAAAATATATAAGTATTCAGAATACATTTTGCTCAGTTTTATTTTCACACTATCATGCAATTTGTCCTGTCATAGTTGTGATTAAGGAGTCCCTGCATATAATTTTATCTTTTGATGTACAGAACACATTAGCAAACAGGGAAAATAAGACTTTTTTAACACGCTTGGGACCCTTAGAAATAAACTCTGTATACATATCATACCTGCAGTCCCTTTTGTTGCAGTGCTGCTACAGACAGTTTTCTGGCATCCCCGATACTGGGAGTGATGTAGACCTTGAAGGGGGACTCCGGGATGTGTTCATCGTTAAATTTAACGGAGACTAGGTACTCTCCCGGCTCAGTGACCACGTACTTAACTCCACATGACCCGTCCTTGCGGTCATCAAAGTCCAGCTCGGCTTTAGAGGGACCCTCTACGGCGATGGACAGACCCCCAGCACCAGCCTCTCTTGTGTAGATGTTAAACTCACCTGCAAATGGAGAAATATTTATTTTAATCAAAAAGACAAAAAAAAAAAAAAAAAAAAAGAAATTAATTTTGAGAATAATAAATTATGACTGCATAATTTTTTTTGCAAATGTTAACATTACAGGTAGCATTTTCATTTACAGACATGTTTTATATACATACACCCCCCAAAAAATCTTTGATCCACCAAAGCTGATGATACTTACATGGCTGGTTGATTTCTCCCTTCTCCAGACCTGGACCTGCGGCGTGGACCTTGTGTGATCCACCTCCTGTGATGGGACCCACAGTGAACTCAAATGGACTTCCTGTAAACATCAGGGAAAGTTAATTACTATTTGTTGTTTCACATTGAAGTCATGAAAGATATATAGATATCTGAAATGTTTTTCCTGCAAGATATTATCAAGTTTGTAGAAAAAAAAATTGTGCATATTAAGCTGAATCTAACATTAAAAAGTGAAACCTCTCAAATGAACTTCCCTTTTCTGGGAAATAAACTTTTGTTGTTTTGCAATGAAGTCATGAAAAATTCATGTCTAAAATAAGGTTTTTCCCTCATGTTTGGGACAAATTTTACATGAGCTGAATCTATTACTGTACATGTATTATTTTTAGCGTGCACGATATTTAGCGGATCTGATTTTTGAACAAGTTAGCGTAGATTTGATTTAGCACATTTCTCAAGGTTCTTATTCATGTGCATATGTGCAAGACATTTTGCATTGTACTTGAATTAGCTGAAGTTCCTCTCTGCCAAAAGCGCTAAAAAGAATACACAGCCAAATATAATACATTTACAGTACTAGAAAAGACACCTCCATGAAATATCTACTTGTACAAAGTTAATAGTAAGCACTGCTTATCATATATTTCTTTCATCACTCCTCATTTTAATTTCTATCATTATATCAATAACTTCACAGTGTTGTGTGACCTTGACCTTTGACCTACCTGGGATGTGCATGTCCTTGTGTTTGACACTGACTGTGTGGACGCCCATCTCCTTGGGAACAAACTTAATGCTGTAATGGTTATCGTCGAGACTGACGATGTCACACAACTCAGTCACGCCGGAGGGGCTGGTCACCGAGGCAGTCATGTCGAAAGGACTGGTTCCTATGGAAACATCAAAACAAATAAATGGCCTGATATTGCTTAAGAATGAAATTTGCTCAACTGCTTAATAAATTCATTGTAAATTTGAATTTCATCAACAACATGAAAGGGAAAACAATTTCAGAAAGTCACACCTGAACTAATTAAAAGGTACAAAAAATCACACCTAGGATTGCTAAAATAGGAGGATCAAAACTAAACTAAACTAAAAGTTGGAGGGCAATGTTTCTTTCTTGAAATAGGCAAAACAAAAAGGGTTTCATGTGGAAAATGTATATGGGTTTCAAATGTACAATTATTTTTCCTGTGCTTGGTTCAAAACGGTTTCTGGGAACATTTTTGCTGCTTGTCAATTTAATATGCAAAATCAAATTTTGCTTCACATATTTGCAGCTTGAGAAAAAAATTATTTTTTCATTTTATTTTTTTGAGCAGTATCTAGGGTGTGCTTAGAGGAGGGAAAAACTCCAACAAACATCGCCATGGTAACCACAACAAACCTCACCATGGCAACAAGCTATACCTGTTGTCGTTTGAATTTGAGTTTCCTCTTGGTATTGAGCGCATCTTGCAAAGAATGCGACTAAAAATAGATAATTTAAATAGTGCATCTAAATATAGCTACAGCAGTACATCTCCTTAATGATGGCGATTTATATTAAAATTACAACTTCAAATGAGATATATAAGAAAAATTATCGTGGAGATGAAAAGGCAATCAATCTGTAGAAGTACTTTACAAGACACATTAAAGATTTTCAATCTAGATTAACAGGCTCTTGTATGAGCATCAGCCATGGCATCAAAGTCTACACACACACTTCAGACATTTGAGGAATGCAGAGAAAATAAAAGTCAATCCGACTAGGGGAGCCTTGCTTCTGATCGTCTGCCAACTTCTCGTGTTGTGCATCCTACAGGGAGATCAGAATGAGCAGACAGAAATATCAGCCGGGATCGCGTCTGCTTCCCCTACAGGGAGCGAGCGGAACTCTTCAGTCATTTACTGTTATTTCCTGATGAGCCTCCTTAATTCACTTTTGATTGCTGTTTATGAAATCTCACTTCTCAGCTTGTACAAACTTCTTACTCAATTTTAAAACCAGTGTAAACAGAAGACTTAACAAGAAATGTTTTCAATAAACAGTTGATTAACATCTATGAGTTCTTCATTAGTTTTGATGCCACTGTTTTATGTGCAAAATAATGTGTAAATAAAACTAGCAATCACAAGGTTAGCTGTGAATTGACAGTTTATATCTCCCCCAAATTACTGTGAAATCATTCTGATTTTTTTTTTTTTTCTTTTGTGCCAACTTATTTTGAAATCAGAACCATGGCAACACCGTTCATCGAAATCAAAAACGCACTATTCTATGTATCTTAGGAATTTTGTGCCAACTTATTTTGAAAATTCTTTTTTAGGAATTTCACAGAAAATTCTACTTTTAGTAACCATGGCAATAATTTATTACAGTCTAAAACTTTTAAAAAATCCATGTTGTTAGACAAGAATCCAAACACAACTTTTATTAATGGTAAAAATGAATTTCAAATATGAACCCAGAGCTTAGCAGTTAGTAGAAACTCCTTACAAATTACTATATATAGATAGATGTATTGCCAAAAGCTGTTTTTGTGTGCATTCCTCTCAATAAATAATTTTTCAGTAAATCTTGTTGTGTTGTATACTTTTTTTTTTGTTCCCTATAAACACTGCTTCATCAATTTGCCCCCAATCACTTTATGCTGACAGAAAAATAACATCTGTCCTCAGTCAGTATCTTATCTGTTTTGTTTAAGTCTAACTCGATAACTGATATTCATTTGAGTCCACCTCAGTCTATATATGGCTCCAAAATCCCATGCTTATGTGACTCAATTGAGCCAACCATTCCATTCAACACTAATCTTTAAAACAGAGGCTTCTAAGAGATGCCCACTTAAATTCATCTTTGATTAATCGTACTAAAACTGTAACCCAGAATCATGAGACTCAAAAACTCAGAATCTGAAGGGTTAAGTGTGACATTCATCAATGCAATGAATACCTTTAGGACTGACTTAGAAAGTTGAAGCCACATCTATGTAAGAGACTTATTAGAACTTTCTTTGGATGTAATAACCTTGGAATCTTGCATGAGTGATATTCTTTACACATGTTAAAGTTTATCTTTGTGAGCAATACTCAAGCTACAATTCAGCGTATTGGACCTAAAATGTGAGATACATTCATCAGAGTCTATCTCGTGACGAATACTCGAGATGTAACTCACACACTGATTGATTAGAGTCTATCTCTGTGAGTATACTCGAACACTGACCTGGAATCTTAAGACTGAGTTCACACTGACTGCCGATGTGAGTTATATCTGCTGCCTCCCGGTGTCGAGTTATTCTCTCCGTCATTCTGGACGAGGGCTCACCACCAACGTTCACATTGAAGGGAGAACCTGTAGGAAAACAGGTAAAATGTCACATAGACATTTCTGAATGAACATACAAAACAAATAAATGTAAATGAGACAGTTCTGAACTTCTGAATTAACTACCAAATAAGGGCAAAATATTCTTAACGTCTGGTTAAATGGCATTTTAAAAATAACATATGGTAAATCTGACTTTAAAGTCAACAAACCTAATAAGTGACTGAATTGTACAACTCAGACGTTATATTAAATCTGAAGTTGGTCATAACAGGAAAATATGGATATTCATTCAGAGTAACATTTACTCCCACAAATTAATCATTCAATGTTATTAATAAACAATTTTATGATCTTTCTCTGAAGCAGTCACATCCTGTCTAACCCCCCTCTTCTCCCAGTATGGCCCTATATAAATCTCTCACCTGGCACATGTTCGTCAGAGAACTTGATGTTGATGATGTAGTTGCCGGGCTCGGTGGGTTTGTAGGTCACACGACATGACCCATCCTCATTGTCCAGACACTCAATGTCGGCCTTACTGGGTCCCTCAATGGACAGACTCAGACCGCCGTAACCTGTCAGAAAGTAAACCGTTACTGACCAATTTACATAAATAATAACATTCTCAGTGTTACTATCGAAGTTAATTAAAAAAGATAAACAAAATCAACATTACATTAAAAATACCGTATGTGAGCTTACTTAAGGAATGGTTCTGATTTTTAATGTGTTAATGTACTGATCATGGCAAGATTGTGAATTAATTTAAGTGATAATTGTAAATGTGGAATAAATGCTTATTCATAATTGAGCAAACACGTCCATGATATTTTAATGCAATCAAGTTAGAAAACAGCCCTTTACTGTAACATTGAAGATTTTCTTCTGCTAAAGAGATTTTTTTACCTGTACAAGACCCAGAAAATAGCCCCATTATATACCTGCATCTCTGGTGTCCACCATGAATTCGTTGATCTCGTTAGCCATGCCATTCTGTAATCCCTGTCCAGCCACGCGGACCTTGCTGGCGTTTCCGAGTTCGCTTTCACCCACGATGATCTTGAAGGGGCTGCCATTAATATGCTGGCCGTTTCTGAAGACGTTAACCAAGTGTTCACCAACCTCACGTGGAGTGAAGGATATTCCTTTAATAGAAAATGTTGATATAAGTAGGGTTTTTTTAAATCCAAACTTGAAAACCCATTCCTTGAAATTAAGCACATCTTTTTCTTCAATGCATCCATGAATTTTTCCAATCAATACAAAGGTCATATTTATTAACCTTTTTGAAATGAATTTCCTATTTGCAAATTACCAACCAATTTTACACCATTAATGAGCTTAATATTTGAAAACATTTTACGCTGTTACATGCATCTACTCATTTGTCCTTTCAAAGACGTGAATTTTACAGTAATTTACACCTGAATCGTGCAGCAGTATTTCCTTACCGAGATGTCCATTGGCCAATCGTTTGAGCAGACACGGCTCCTCTCGGCCAGAGGGTGAACGGATGCTGGCGGTCAGATTGTTGATGTCCTGCTCCATGACCTTCAGTGACACCTCGCTGCTGCGTCCAATTTGAGCCTTCCTTCGTGGTTCTCCAGCCGTGGCTATCAAAGGGAGATAATGCAAGGTGATAATTGATATTTCCGCAAAATGTCAAGGCCCAAATGTACAAGTAAACAAGTTTACACAACTCATAAATGCAAATTAAAAATCAATGTACACTTGCTCTTTAGTGGTTTTTAATTTGTGGTTTACACATGAAAAGAAAACTAAATGAAGAACTGTTAGGAAAAAAATTCAAAACTACATGTTAATGAAGTGAAAATCTTCCCCGAATCCATTTTCTATCAAGTATAGACAAGAACCCCTTAAAAAAAGATGTCAAACGATAATGTTTTTTGTACTAAAGTTTTCACTCTTCAAATTCTGAATTGGCAAGATTCTATAGGAAACTCACGGCTAATCTTGGCAGTGAACGGTGATCCCGAGATGTGGTTGTCGGCGAACTTGACGGTGATGTTGTATTCTCCTGGAGCGGTGGGGATATAACTGACCGTACAGGTCCCGTCACCATTGTCCACACATTTAATTTCCGTCTTAGAAGGACCCTCAATGGCCAACGAAAGTCCACCTAACAAGTCATGAAAATAGCTCTCAACATCCTTTTCACTATCAACAGTGTTAAAAAATTGCTGTTCATTTACTGAATTTTCTAAAATTGAAAAGTTCCCATTCTTCCAATGTAAGCAAATTCTCACAAAAATTTGGTTTTATAAATACCAAGTCAATGAAAAATTGATTATAGCAGAATCTTCAAAACATAATTAACACCTAAGTTACAACTATATTTACACGTTTTCCTTTGTTTATTCCATTTATAATAAGAGATTTCAGTAAAGCTGTTTTCTTCCTCAAAGATTGCAATAAAAACAATGTAATACCCAAATACACCTACATCCTTATCAGTTGCATGCTGTAGGGCAATACTTAGAAATGTCAAGACGATTACAAAGAAAAATCTGCCTTTTCTCATGCAAATTACATAATCACTGAAATTAACAGCAGTATAATCAATTTTTCTCCCAAAAAAACTTTATTTCAAGGTAATTTTGCATTTGAAATTTTTCAGGCATTTATGAATTTATAAATTAAAATTTGCTATACACGGTTGCTATGACTACCGCCTATCTTATTTTCGTACCTGCACCTGCGTCTTTGGTGACGATGGTGAATTCTGCGGGCTCGTTGACGATTCCATGACACAGACCTGGTCCATAGGCGGTCACATGACCACTGTTGACGGCATCCACATGGAATTTGAATGGACTTCCTGTGAACACAATTAAAATAAACTTTCAAGGTCATGGTCATTAAAAAATGCGTCGATCAGAAAACATAACAACAATCTATCAAGGGGCAAACTTTTCTGTCGAGAACAATTCAAGGGAGGAAGATGGGTCACACTTTTTCTTCCCACAAAATTCAACCATTTTGCAAATTAGCCAATGAAAATATCATGAAAGTTGGGTTTCACATTTTTCACATATCCTAAAAAGTTTCACAACAGCTGTCAAAAAGAAAAAGAAAATTTCACTCAATAAAAAAAAACATTGCTGAAGATATTGAACCTGGTAAATGATCCAGTGTAAAACTAAATCTCTGTTTTCTTCTCCTAGACTCCATTACCCCCCAAACTCACACAACCACAGTAATTATTGAACAGTTCTTATAACTTTATCTGTTTCTGATATTTGGCAACACCAACTTTCTATCTGTGTATCACTAGTTAACCAGCGGCCATGAGTTATTTTTGAGATAACGGGCAATGAAGGGAAATGAATAAATTCTGGGGAATCCTAATCTGGTATCTGGTTAATCTATCAATTGCTCCTGATCCATCCCTGAAGGTGAAATATTTCATCTGATAGTGAATGTGTTAATTGTATAAGCAACTTACACCTATACCCTATCTCATCTATCCCTTAATCATTTCATTCTGAATTGTTAATCTTATGCATTTCCATTTCAGTTATAAACACAAAGTAGACTCTTAAATTACCTTATAAAATACAAGACATCAATTCAAATTTTTATGAATAAAATTATCATTATTTTACCCTAAAGAATTCTGTTACAATTAAACTTACGGTAATACATGTATTCAGATTTGCCATTCTTATGTCCCCTATCCTCTTTGCCTTTTAAATTCTTAACTTTTTTTATTCCATATAATTATTGTTATATTTGACCTTTATCTTCAATATATTCATTGGTGTATTTGACTTTGGAATTCAACATCATTGTATTTTACCTATAAACTTTCATTATGTTCATTTGATATATTTGACCTTTACCTTCAATATCATTTCATATTGTCCTTGACCTTCAACATAACCATTGCTGTATTTGACCTTGACCTTCATATAATCATCAATATATTTGACCTTTACCTTCAATATCATCATTGTTGTATTTGACGAAGAGTTCGTGAAGTCCAGTTTCCGTGGGCTGGTATCTAACAGTAACAGTTCCATCTTTGTTGTCCTGGATTTTGGGGTACGCCTTCTTTCCAGAGGGCATGACTACATAAGCTGTAAACAATATAACAAGACATGTGCTATAAGCAGTTTCCTTTCATCCATTCTTAATACATAAAGTACTAAATGCTTTACTTTTCTTTCAAATAATGAATAACACAACTTTCCATAATTTTGAGAAAATTTAAAGTTGTTTCATGTACATCCATTTACTTCAAATTAAATTTATGTATTTCTGCTTCTAAACTAAAACTTTACTTATCTCATATTCAATGACTCCTACCCCCCCCCCTTTGAGAATAATTCAAGTGACTAACCAGAGACGAAGTTGAAGATAGGTCCGACAGGGATACGGATGTCAACTGGTTGGAACAGCCCTGCCCCTGGGGCACCAGCATGTACTGCGTCGACAGTGTCGGGGGAAATCAAATCCTCAGTGGCACCAACCTATCAACAAGGAAGATAACTCTTCTGTACACCTTACAATTAATGCCTGGATTACCTCCCTTTGAAGGAAGTCGAACATGCAAAAACACATGCTATTACACATCACATTCTATTTCTCTAGAAAAATTTTAATACATTTTCAAGATCAATTTCAAGAAAGAAACTTCAATATTTCATGCTTTCATCTCACAGTTGCTAATCTCAGGTTATATTTTAGTCAGCTGATTTTTCCGACATTGTTAGTGTTGGTTAGAACTTACCTGATCCTCCAGGTATTTTTCATACTCCTCAGGACTTACAGCCTAAATAACAAAGAAAGGCCAAGTCAACAAACACATGCAATAGTAACATGCAGTCTGGCAGTACAATAGACACAATACTTTTGAAGCTCCCATCCCCCCCCCCCAAAAAAAAAAAAAATCCCTAGCAAATCTATTATCTGAGGGGATCTCCACAAAATTAAATTTTTGAAACATTTGATTTGTTTTAAATTGGGAAATCTTTAACCAAAAATATTCTTTGTCAAAAATGTCCTAATATTAGAAACTTTAATCGATGTAGATTTGTTGGATAGATTTTGCCATATTTAAAACTTTTTCAAAGGTAAAGTTGCATATTGGAAACTACTTGGTGATAAAAGAAAATATTGCATTCATGGTATGTTTTCTAAACTTTGAAAAAAAAACACTTTTGATCTACAGTTTCTAACATTCATACTGCCAGACTATCAAAGTGAAATAAGCGATCAAAACGTGATGTCAGAATCATAGCAGATTACAAAGTATTAGATCTGCTGAAAAATAAAAGCAGTTTGTTAAAAAGACTACCTAGGATGCCAAAACGATCATATCAGTACCATCTACTTATACAACTCATAATTTAACTGCTTCACACAACATATATCACACCTGGTAATGTTTGCAACCTAGGCTATAACTAACTGGTCTAAAAGCTCGATCGGTATTTCACAGAAAGAGCCGAAAACTCAAGGTTTTGAAATCAAACAGATCTAAATGCTAAAACAGAACATTATAAATTACAGATCCAAAACAGATCTCCTTAGACATATACTCAACAGGCTCTAAATTAACATCCACTGACAAGCTTCATTTGTGGATGATGGCCGCACATGCACCCAAAGCAATGGGTGTATAAATGCTTTCTCTTTTTTTTTCAAAATATTTTTATTGTATGGAATATATAATATATACATTCACCTTGAATCTGTTAATCAATGTAAGAAACATGTAAAGAACATTAACAGATATATTCTTTCATTTTTTGCTGATTTCCCTTAATTTTTGCATCTACAAAGTAATGCTTATGCAACAGATGCAACAAAAAATGCCCACTTATCAGTCGTAAAAACCTTTCGATGCTTTTAAAGCCTTCAAAATAAACGAAACCAAAAAATTTTAATTATGTTTGAACAGTAGTAAACAGTCACACCTTTGTAAAAACAAGAACAAAAGGCAGATATCTCGAATATCACATATCACAACACTAGGGGGCACAACCCAACATCCAGCGATAACCTGATTACCGAAAATCATGTTACGCAAGTGATCCATTTAATGCGAACCCATTCTGCAAAAAATCTTGATAAACTTAAAAGACCACCTTTATTCTAGTTTCTTTTTTAAAAAGTTATCTCGACTAAGACTCGACAGAGATTTTTAACAATCATTAGGATTCTGAACGTTTTCTGAAGTTCGAAATTGGAGCAGAAAAAGAACAAGGGTGCATAGATCATGAAGAGGGCCAATTATGCCAAAAATGTTTTGATAGCGTGTGTATCTCCCTTTGTAGACAAGATACCAATCAAATATTATTAACTCTACTCTTAATCATAATTCTCTTTTAATGTACCAAAGATATATCAAACCAATAGAAATTGTAATGTGGATGTTTCGAGGGTCGTCAGTGAGATGGGGATCGAATTCCTCCCCATGCAGATGAGGGCTGTCTTATCTCTGATGGGGAAAAGTGTAGCATTATGAAAATGGGGGAAAATTTTCACTTCAGTATCTGCAGCTATCAAAATTCTTGAGGAGAAGATAAAGGCTCACTGATGAAGGGTCTGAAAAGAGAGTGCTCCAAAGATAAGACTGAATGCATGGTGAGATCCTAAATGCAGAAAAAACAGTAAAAATCAGGCATAGTAAACAACTCCAAAACGTAGCCATTGATGAAGCGATATTCTTATTTACTGAGTTATAATTAGGGAATTGCAAGAATGACCAAGTAAAAATTAGAGAATTTTAAAAATTTGATACAAATCTATACTTTGTCACCCCCTACCCCCACCATTACCACCAACTTTGAAAATGATACTCTAATGTAAGATGGGGGGTTTCATTTCTCTCGTGTTTTTAAAAACCATTTTCCACAAATGTTTATTTGGTAAATTATATGGCAATAGCTGTAACATTACTAGACAGCATTACAAAAATATATGTTATCAGTAGACACCTCGCCATTTAATAGCAGCCTCTCGCTGTATTTTATGGCCATATAAACTACCATACTTAAGGAAGCCTGGCAAGGAGAAGATAACCCTGTATATCTGTGGTCTTTATGACCTGGGACACAAGCACTCCAAGTCATATTGAACTACAAATCCAAAGTCATCCATCAATCACACCCACTACCAGAATTATCAACCCATTTAGATAACCTCATTGACTTCATATCCATAGTACTTTAACAAAGTGAGTATGTGTCTGGGTTACAAGACAAGCCATTCAAACACTCTCAAAAACTGAATCTCCTTAAAAATCTTCTCATCCTTAAATAATGCGCTGTGAAATGAAATCTAATGCATTGCTTTGGGACAGATGTTTCAAAATACAATTTCTAAATGTATCTAATTTAATCTTGTTATGTAACCTGTATAACTCCAGTTGACTTAATGATATCTTTGGACAGATGTGCCCAAAAGCAAAGCCATGTTTGAAACATCAGCTAGAATGTTCCACAAGCGAGTGACTTTCATTACGGGGGTTTAAGTGATTTTATGCATGTGCAGAGCTGATAAACTTCTGATGAATCTGCCATCAAAATGATTCCCGACTTGATTATAGAAGTCTGCATTTATCATTACAGAGATAGCTCACAAAGATCTTATCTCCAACCATAGTTGACGGTTCATGTTATTTTAATTTCTAGATCCATCATTTGTGATTTTTTCATCTGCAGTTCTGTATATGGTTCTTATAATTATCTTCACAAAAAAAATATCAAAATTTACTCTTCTTATAATTATTCAAATATCAATCTCTTTTTATTTTGTTATATTATCTCACCTTTTTCAGTGAATTCACAAAAAAATCATTATAATTGTCTTATATTCCTAATCCTTTTATTTTACAGAATTTTTGTATTTAAGAATCCTGTATTGCACTCTTGACAATCTTGTATTGCACTCTTGACAATCTATCTCACAACTTTGATTCAGGTTATTCTGATTTTGTGAAACACACTTCAAATAATTAACAAAATTTTCCATCACAATTAAAATTTTTCCACTTTATCAAAAATTTCAAAGGGACCTAATCCAAAGAAAAAAGGAAATTACTTACACAAAGTTTCACTGACTTCCAGTAAAAATTTCCTATGTATAACACAGGGGCAGCAGATACGAAACACAAACCTTGAATTTTACAAATTGAGTAAAATGGTTGAAATGCTTTGGCTGGGAACTCCGTGCCTGTCAGTCAATTAGAAGAGGGATGAGCTTCATTTCACTTCACTTCAAAAATGCAGGCCTTTTAAAGCCAGGCTCTGATTGGCTGATTTTTTCCAGGGCACCAGACTACCACCAGGTGGCAGTATCTATATGCCTCCCTGGTCAGCCTCCGTATCAATGCAGAATCGGGCCCCCCGAATATCTGTAATTGTCGTCAAAATATTTAATGAGGTTTGTTGGTACCTTTTCTCCCTCCCCTATCAGAAGAGTATCTCTCGTCCAAATCTTTGTGATGTGGGTTAAAAGTGCTATCGTATAAGATCAGGTGAAAAAGAGAGTGTTGATGCGAAGTTATCACGAAATTCCCACTAAGTTTTATATCCAAAATCAAATATACTGTCACACTAGGGGACTACCTTAATGCTTTTTAAAGTTTGAACATGAATTGATATAAAATGTTTATAACATGTATATAATGACCTTAAAATTCTATTTAAGATGTCATCAAAATTTATTATAGAGACCACTCAATTAGATCAAATATACACAGGAAAAACAATTAAAAAAAAACGTTTTGACCTTATGACATATATTTTCAAAAAATACAGGCCAGAACTCAGCAAAGGCAATCAATTTAAAAGATTACAAATGATTGCAAAAATTATGTAACACCTCTAACGTAATAGATAAACTCATCAGGTGATTCCAGTCCAATTATTTACTCTTAATTATTTCAAAATGTTGTAATAGGTAGATTGATAATCATTCCGAGTAGAGAATTTAATTTTCTGCTGTGAAATATCTGCCAATAATACCCTCCTTGCTGAGATAGGCATTTGGCAATAGTGTGTACACGTCTCTTTTTCCGTGTGGACCAGGTGTTTTCTATTTGTTCTTTTTCGATTCTTCCAGATTCCAAAATACTTAATTACCTTCAATGATCCCGATATTTACTGCATTTCTTTTGCCAGCTATCATTTACATGATCTTTATGCTTGGTTCTGCTATATAATGTATAGCAATTTTACATCATATTTGATAGTTTTGCAGACTAACATAATCTCAATGTCATCAGAGAAATATCGCCCTGAACAGAGGGCAATACAAGGATATATTGCATGTTAATCTGGGCTCATTGTTAGAAATGTGAGAAACTGCTTATTACATTTTGAAATGTGATTGGACATCAGTTAAAAAGCAGCATATAAACATATATAATGAATGTTGTTAGAGATTTGCATTTGCAAGATTCATTCCACATTAGCAGCTGTGAAAAAAACATGAGAGAACATATTAAGAATTTTCTTTTTCATCACTTTTCCCCTTACAATCATTTCAATGACATTTTTCCCCCTTTTTCGTGGCTGCATGTTCATACATTGCCATCTCATGGATACATTGAAAGACTTTTCCATGCACAAAGATAAAGTCTTCATTTTGGATGCAAGTAATATATGCATGTATGTATATATATTTTTAAGAAATGAATAAAAAACACAGACATCTTACCGAAATTTCCCAATCACTATTAGTAAGAACCTAGTTAAAAAACACAAATGAGAAATGAGAACACTTTTTCAACAATACACAAAAAAAGAACAAATGAATATGAATAAATGATATGAAAATATTTTAATGAAATTTTCATGAATTTTCAATGACATATGAAATAAAAAATTGAAATGTGAAATTCCTCTTAAATAAAACAGCTAGATTTTGGTAATTCTTAAATACAGTAATTGCAAGCCATTCCATCACCTAAATGATTATTATTTACAAACATTCCTCAGTGTCATATTCCCTCTAGTATACACCCACACTTCTCTTTTTTAATAGTACCCCACATTCCTAAATAGAAATTACAAGAGAGATTGCAGGACATCTAAGACCAATACAACATTGTAACATCAGAACAAACACAAGCCAACAAAGTGGCCAGTGGTAAAACCAGAGTTTGACCACAAGGTCCATTCATCCGCGAGCTTGTCCATCAACATCTGATAAATCTGAGTTCTTTGAATCCAAATTTTATCTCCAGTAGCTTTCGTAAAATAAATCTCATTGACAGTATATCTGTGTTTCTCATCAATCTTTGTAGACAAGTAACTCACACACATACTACATTCCCCCCTCCCCAATTCATATGTGCTAGCTAGCTGCATGTACGAGAGAATTTACAACTATGTTGAAGATGAGGTGCTGAAGAAATCCTACCATTGTATCTGACTGACATATCAACCTGTATTCTGGGTTGTACTTTAACAATGCTCTGTTAAAATCTTTACACTGAAAGAATTCTGTTCTTCGATGTAGTTATCCAGTATAAAACTATCAAGATCATACCACGTAACCCGGAGCATCGTAGCTGATATAGAATCTGAGCAACTACAACAAACTCAATGAACCAGAGGATGTTGGTCTCTAATTGAATTAAACTGAGGAAGAACTTGAACGTTTCAATGTCAAACTGGTTCAGCAATTGCTAATCTTTTTTTCTTAAAAAAAAAGTTCAAGAACTAAATTTCTTCTTTCTATGAACCCTCATCCCTAATTTTTGCCCACTATCAAAGCTGGAAATGAAACAGAAGCTAGTGCACATTCTACACTGGAGTTTAATGCCAAATCGTATAATATGTAAACTAATTGACCTAATAAAACCACAAGTGTATGGGTTATACATTTAAATTTAAAGATGCAAGATAGATGAGGCTGGTATCTCAAGAACCCAGTCTCTTTTGTCTTTTAATTTACCACTTAGCTCCTCTAGTTTCTGGCAGCAGTCATTTTCATGAAGTGGTTCATTTCATGAAGATGTCAAGGAAATTAAACAGACAGCATGTTTTGGGCATTAAATAAAGTCGGCTTCATTCTGCATATCAAATAAGACAAATCGTCCACGCCAATAAGGGGGGAAAACCCTGCGATAACAACTGCCTTTTTGTAAAAACTTTCTCACAAATGTCAAGACACAGCTAATGGATAAAGGGTACCAAAAAATGATTCACACTTCAAAAAAAAAAAAAATACAAAAAAACAAGACCAATGATATGAAAGTAATAAATGAGCTGCAATGTCTGATTCATCTTCCTTCCCACTCAAAAAGCAGTGAATTAAATTTTTATCACTTTGGAGCCATTCATTTTTATCCTGAATCTTTTACTGACAAAAAAGCATTTTTGGTTTCTTTAAAAGAATTCAACAATTGGTATTAATTTTCGGCAAATTAAGGTTGCAGACAAACTGTGCAGGAAATAAATAAATGGCAGCTTTGCACCATGACCTTGATCTTTTGAGGATGAACATTATAATGTTCTTTTCCCTTCTAAACAGACAGGAAGCACAGATGAACATAATTTCCTCCGACTTAAAATACATCTTGTCATTTCTAAGCCTTGGCAGCTTCTGTCTGAATTCAAACCGGAGAAATCTAAATAGTACGTGTTTTTTTCTCTTTCATACCAAAATCTAACAGAGCTTACAAACTACACAAGTACAAAAAAAAAATAAAATTTCAATGCACATGATACATGGAACTATTTAGCACAATTTGGTTTCTTTTTTTCTTTCTTTCTTTTTTTCCCCCCAAATGCACAACATTCTTTTATTATGTTAAAAAAGCAACCATTTCATTTTTTAAAGATCCCAGAATTTTGAAAAAATACCATTCCTACACCAAAAACACACCTGGAAAAACAAAAAATTGTTGTTTCATTCACAATTAGTTTTTAAATTACGTTCCAAGTCGAAGGAACAATTTAAGGGGGGTCCTTCGGCGGAAAACTCTTGGAAATATCTCTCAACAAATTCGGTCAGACGCTGGGTGAAGACTTTGCCGTCTGTTGCTGAGAGTGATATCAAAATACCTGCATTTATCTTCATCTAATAGATCATTTACCAGTCTTCCCAAAATAAGGCACAGGAGCTATTTATAGTAATAAAATCTGGAACTCATCCTAAAAGCATATAATTCGTAAAAAAAAAAATTCCATGTCTTTTCCTTCTTTCCCATCATCCATCTTATCTTAATGCAACGTTATGTTTTTATCTTGTTTTTCTTTACAACAAAACTATGAACATAGATATCTAATTAGCAGAAATGTTTTCTTTACAATGGCTAAACTTCAATGGAAATAACAGGATGGGAATTCATCCTGGAATGTGATTAATGAAGCAAACAAAAATAAAATGCACTCTATGATAAACTGAGCTACCCTCAGCCCTCTTCAGACTTATTTTTCTTCAATGTAAAATGTGCTGAAAAAATCTTTTTGATTAAGAAAAAGAACAATCTCTTTTCTAAATACTTGGATGCTGAATTATGGAATATGCTGCAATTGATAATTGTACTCTAAACGGCCTGAAAAAATGAAACTGTCAACAAAGCATGCTGGGAATTATTTCCGTTATGCGGAAAATCACCCTCATCTGTCAAACCCTCGAACTTGACTCAACCACTCTGACAATTACCTCCAAAACACAACAATGATTCTCCCTACATACATCAATGTATGTTTCTTGCTTTCCAAATGAGCTTCTGAAGCCATATTTCTTTGTAATACTTCATAAATCGTGTCCTATTAGCTGTTTACAATTTGTATGAATCAGTTGTGGTTCTATAAACAGACTTGCATAAGTAAACATTTTCTTTTTTCTTTTTTTTTTAACAAATCATCACTATTTGAATGCAGAAAAAAGTCATTCATCTGTAGATTTAACTTTCTTGTTCTCAAAACAATTAACGTTGTGAATATATTTTTTCTACTTAATCACATAATTACGCCTATTGGTCGATCGTTTCCAAAACCCTCTAGAAAAACTCATCTCTTTCAGTTCTACACAACAGGTTCTTGAAGAAGCATACAAAAATATTCTACTACTCCCACAAAAAAAGAGAAATTCTCAGTCTTGTAAATTTTCTCATAAACAGAAGCTCTTAAAACCATGTTTCCACATTCCAAAAGCTTGCAAGACGAATTTTCCTGGAATTTTTACTGACAATCAATGATTCAGAGTTTATATTGATTATCTTCGCCACTCACCAACCCACCCAGGAATCGGGGGAAAATAAGCCTGATTTACAAGACATTCACCCTCTAAAGGCCATCCTCTCTTCAAATAATTTGAAAGTTGAATGAAAAATATTTTCAATAGAAAAAACAAACATCTTATTTTCTTCCAACTCATGCAAGACCAGGGAGTTCAAATTCCCTCGCATGCAAAGTCATGCATAATAAAGTTATCACGTATTTGATTTACTTGATGTCTACAACAAATATATACATATGTCAACAAGATGGTTTTCTTTTTTTTGGGGAAAGGCAAGGCTAGAAATAATTGGCATTGATAGAATGTAATTGTTGATGCAAGAACTGCAGAATTTCGAACATTTCTCAGTTTTGTGCCAACAGAACAAAAATCTAGGAGATCTCTAGTGATTTGTTCTTTTTCTTCTGTAGTGAATCATGTGTTTTGGGTGCTTTCCTAACATAAATCTCTACTTTTTCGTTGAATTAAATATTAGGCATGGCATTTAAAATCTTGCGAGTTCTTGGATAATAAGACATTTTAACACTTCTTGCCAAAACAATCAAACTGAAACTTAGTCAAAAGACTTCCATATTTAGCAATTATCAGGTTATTGCTTTTAAATTGTTCAACACTGAAAATCACAATTTCCTCTTCTTCTAATTAATCCAACTCATCTGAGTGCATGCTAGCTAGCAAATATTTCCTAAGTCATGCAGTTGGCATTTTTTTGAAAATAAATAAATCCTACTCCTTTAGTGCCAAACAATATAAATCCTATCTATAGCTAGGATCAGGCAATACCACTGCCATCAATGATTGCCACTCCCTTTTATGACAGGCAAACTAGATCTGCCCACTAAATGATATAGTGGGCAATTAGTGGGCAGTTCCATGATTGCCACTCATTATAAGAGTAAACAAAACAGAACTGCCCACTAAATGACATAGTGGACAATCAGTGGGCAGTGTCCACCCCTTCCTGAACTTACCTGGATATCGTATTCTCCACCGGGCACACTCTGTCCTCCAAACTTGATGTTAATGGTGTAAGCGCCCATCATCTGAGGGGTGAAGAGGAGGCTGAACGTTCCGTCGGGATTCTCCACGATGTCGATATCAATGTCGTTACCGCTGGGACTGCGGATACGACAGGTGACCTTGCCTTCTCCAGCCTGGGAGGCGTCCACACAGATAACGGTCTCTTTGTTGATTGGGACGGTGGTATTCTCCAGACCTTCTAGAAATGTTATAGATCAAATTCATAACTATTACAATTCCATATCATTGGATGTCACACTAATTTTTGTCAGTCTAATGAGTTTTGAAGGTATCATATATGACTGACTTCCATAAATTCTCCAATCTCAAATCAAAATGAAGCAAGTATCTAAAGCACACGACAGAATATCAAGCTAAGTTGATCTGTTTTTTCATGTTCTCATGTTTTCAGTATTATGACTTACCTGTAATTCTGCATTTGCTGGCATCACCCACGGGGTAGGCGTTGACCTTGAGGGGGGTGTTGGGTACCACTTGACCTCCGAACCTGATCAGGATCTCGTAGGTTCCAAGGTCATCTGGGACGTAGGACACGGTGAAGGTTCCGTCACCATTATCAACGATGTGGGGGTGAGCGTAGGTACCGTCAGGTCTCTGTTAACAAACAACAATAAACAATCAGTTCAATACAGTAAAACACGCTTAGTACATGCAAACTCAGATATTGCGAATTCACAGGTATAGGGAAGTTATAGTGGTTCCTTAGGTATTAAATTCGAAGAATTCCTTATACAGATATTGCAAATTATGGATATAGCAAATTAATTTCATTGGTCCAGTTGAGTTTGTTAAAACTGAGTTTTATTGAAATGATATCTATAGTAATAAACAAAATGCATGGTATTCAATTTTTAAGGAAATTTTCTAACAGATGTCAAATTAATGGTTTCCTTCTATCTTTTTTTCAAGTTTCTCTCTCCAAATCTTTAAAAGTTTTTTATAAAAAATTCCTGCACTTTTTCCTAATTTTTTTGGTAAACGAGTGCTTTATCTTTATCTTTTGGGTGGGACTGCACACGATGAGTGGGGAACAATTCATTTTAATTATAATGGTTGCTATACACTTCATTAAAAATCTCATACATATTCCTTTGTCCTCCCATATATTTCATTTTTCTACACTTTTTCAACAAGGCTGGATTGTTTTTTCAAGTCTTTCTCAACTCACATAAATCACCTTAGAGCATTTGAAGTAAAATATTTTTTTGAAGTTTCAAGGTTCATTTAATTATCACATCTTTTGGAGAAAACCAGTGCAGCATAATAAGCAATTATCTTGACTAAGCAAAAATCTGGAAACAGTTTGCTGTATTTGAAGAGATTATTCACTCATTATATTTGACAACTTAAGAGAGGATTATTCTTTAAAATTGATTTTTGATTAAACAATTGGGGGTACAATTGGATGATTGTGCCAAATGGTTTTACAGTAAAAATCTTTTAAAATTAATCAAGTCATTTGGGACTTCAAATCTTGCTTCCTTAAAACCCAAATTCTTATTATGTATATTCATATTATGTATATTCTTATTATGTATATTCTTATTATGTATATTAAGAACATAGAACAAAGTCCCCTACAGTATAAAAGAATACAATGTATCTATATATTAAGTGAGTTCAGATTTAAGTAGCTTTTCTTACTTTAAAAGCTACTGTTCAACATACCACCTCCCAAAATATTTTTCAAGGACACATCAAATATTTTTTTTTGATATTACACATTGCATAACCTAAAAATAAAAATCAACCTAAATTTCTAACATTTATAAGGTATCAGAGATTTCCCAGAAGGCCCTAAATTTCCTGTGTCAGTATCAGGTGTTACTCTGCTTTATTCTGATGTTAATGGGGCAATAAATCCCTCCCGGGCTGGAAAACAAGATGGAAGGGGGGAGGTGATGATTGAATTTATCATACACGGAGAAAACCCAGACATCAGCTTCAGCTGTATACATCAAGCTCTGAGGAGTTACCTCCCTTCATAAGACATTGCACAGTGTGCCTGCACTTTTGTTATTACTGCACTATAATACAAAGGTTCGTCTGTTCTCTCTCTGTGTCTGTCTATACACCAATGATTAAGAGCACCTTTTCACTGCATTACTTTGAGGTGAACAAATAACTTGAGTTATGTAACAGCTTTACTCATTTAATTCATTAACAAAACTTCCAAATTTAGCTTTTCTTTTGAGTCATCAAGACAGAAAACAAGGGCTTTGTGGTTTTGAGGAATTCTGCTTTTAATTTGTACTTCTCATTATAGAGTGCAAAAATGCAAGGAAGAGAGAGAGCAAATCTTTTAACCTTGCATCTTCCACTGATTGGCCTCTTTAACGGTGACCTTTGACCCTTACCTTGATAAGAACTTCCAGGTCAGCGATGCCGGCCTCCCTGGTGTCGATGAGGAAGTTGACTGGTAAACTGGCGGGGATGTTCTCCTGGACGCCGGCTCCAGACAACCGGACACGGCTGGCGTCCACCCCGGGCTCCACCTTGGTGGTGAATGGACTGAAATAAAAAAATAAGCTTAGTTCAAACTTCACTCTATGATTCCAAAGAATGTCAACATTTAGTAATATACAAGGGAATATCTTTAACTTTCTCTTGTTGAAATTATTCATTTAATTTTCACTTTTTTTATCCATCAGTTATCTTTAGGCTTAATCTATGTCTTCCAATACATGTAATTTTATCCCAATTGTTGTTTAAAAATACTTTGAAAGTGATAATTTTTGTAGGGAGGTAATTTTCTAAATTTTCTTAGTATGAAAAGTCCCACAAGTTCATATCCTTTATAAAAATGTTAAAGCCCTACTCAGTAAGATATTTCTCATTTTATTACATGATCAAATCCTTCTGGAACCCAAAAAACTATTATTCCAAAAATAAGAGGTTTTCTAAAGCAACACCCTCTCACCTTCCTGGTACGTGTTGGTTTGCGTACTTGACGTCCACCTTACATGGCCCCTCCTCCACGGGGTAGTAGGTGGCGTCCACCACGCCCTCAGCCACCGGGGTCAGCTGAGCAGGCTGGACGCGACCTCTCTGGTCAGTACAGGTGACCTCCAGAGGAGCTTCCCCGGCCTCGGTGGTATCCACGGTGAAGGTCGCAGGGGCACCGGTCTTCACTCCCATTGGCTCGATTCCAGGTCCGTAACATTTGACCTTCTTGGCATCAACTGGGTTCTTCACAGCCACACGGAAAGGTGAGTCTAAAATTAGAAACAGACAATGAATATTTGTACATCTTTTTATTTGGCAGATACATGTCATTATACCTAGTAGGTTTTTAATGATTTTTCTGGAAAAGCTATTTCATAACTATAAAATTTACAATGAATAGAACAATAAAGATTCTACTTCCTTTGGGACCACAAAAAATTATAAAAAACCTTCAGTTGTATGATTGGAAAGATGCATGAACAAAAAGAGGCACTGCAACCTCAAGAGTTTGCTACAGAAATACTGTTAACATTAATTTCAAAGAAAGCCTCTTTTGAGCTCTTAACTGAATAAAGACTTACTGGGAATCTCTTGGTCGGCGAATTTAACAGACACATCATAATCCCCGGGTTTGCTGGGCATGTATTCCACAGTACAGGTCCCGTCTCTGTTGTCCTTACAGTTGATGGGTACCTCAGAGGGTCCGTCAATGGACAGCCCCAGACCGCCCTGCCCCGCCCCCTTGATGTCGATGGTGAACACCTGGGACTGGTTGGTGTAGCCGCCCTGTAGCCCGGGACCGTAAGCCTTCACACGACTGGCGTCACAGCCGGGCACGGCATTGACCTTGAAGGGGCTGTTGGGGATTGCCATGTTGTCGTATGTGACATCCATAGCAATAGTTCCTGAAAAATGCACAAAATACATTAACAGACCAATTAGCATTTCATAGCTTTTTGCTCTGCTTTTTCTGTTCAAAGTTAAGCACATATACGGTGTATATATAGGTAAAATTTCTAAAATCTTTGCAGCTTAGCATAACTAGAAAGGATAAATCCTCAAATTTCTTCTCAAACAGAGTTATTTGTCCTGTATCACAATATTATAGGTGATACCTACAGCTAATACACATCTTTTCTGATATTTCAGTCTTGACAAATCTACAGTTGTCACCCCTTACCTTCTTCAACAGGTGTGTAGAGTACATCGTAGGTACCGTCTCCTTTGTTGGTGACCTTGGTGTCGTTCTTGGTACCAGAGGGGTTGTTGACAATGGCTCTTACATTACCCTCCCCAGAGGGGGTAACAGATTTGGCATCCACAGAGAATTCGGTGGGGGAATCCAGGAAGACACCTATAAATAGAACAAGAAGCTATAAATAACTATGTCAAGCTAAAAATAAAATTCATTCTGTTATGCTAAGATATACAGAAATTAATTTCTACATTGTGTAGGTTTGATAATAGGATATTGTGGTGAAATTCTAATAATATGTAAGTGTTAAATGGAGAAATATCTAATATTAAATATCGTATTTACTGTTACAATATAACTTAATTATTAATTAGGCTAAAATAAAAATAGTTGTACTGGATGATTACTGAAAAAAAGGTTGTGAAATATGGTTGTAAACTTTAAACTATGCTAGTTAGCATACAAATTAGTATACAACAGTTATTCTTGGATTTTCAGAAAAAAAAAATTCTGACTAATTAACTAAGCTTTAATTTTTGTCAATAAGTAATAGGGGTTGGGGGACATTCTCTGTATCAGTGCATTAATAAATCTGACATGCTTATCAGCTAATGTTTAGTAAAGTAATACATATAATGCTAGAAAGAGGTGCTATTTGATACTTACAATATATATATATTATGACTATATGATGGGAATTCTATGAAATATGCATTGCCAAGAATGATATACTTTGAAATAGATCTATATATTATAGGGATGGCAATCGATTGCAGAATTGCTAATCGGTTAACCGCAAAACGTTCCAACCGATTAACCGGTTAGTCGAATCAAGATTATACATTTTGACATTTTCTTTACATATACACAAAAAGGCTAAAAAGACGTTGGAAGTTACATTCTGTTTATTATTTTGATCAGGGAATTTTATGTACGCAAGAGCATATTTTTTTTTTCAATTTCAACAGACAAGAAAAAATTAAGAAAACCACTAAATCAGACAGGGATAATTTTCCAACATAGATGTTAAAGAAGTTAATTCTGCGTTGTCACCATAATCAGAACTACATGTAGCGGGGTAGTCAATGTCTGAACTTTCTTTTAATTTACAATTTACAACGTCCTTATGATAATATAATTTAATAGATAACGGCAAAATATAGGCATGCTATAATTAAAAGTGCTTAACGGTGATGTTTTTAATATCATTAAAGAAAACCACAGTACTATCTGGGTAACTGCATGATGTTATAAGAACAGTAAGAGCTACAATTACCTTCCAAATATTCTTAATTATAAGATGTGTAAAAACACCAAAAAATATGCATGCAGCGCTTTCCTTTCTAAAAAAAAAAGTAGGGGATTTTAAGGATAAATTTACATAAATTTTATTTTTTCCGACTAACCGATTACGAATTTTCTAACCGATTAGCATCGTTCCGACCGATTAATCGATTAACCGGTTAGAAATTGCCATCCCTAATATATTAGGTATCATAAATTAAAGGGGTGCATATTGGTACACATATATAAACAGAATTTATATATATAATAAATACAAATAAGCTTGATTTGAAAAAAAAAAGCATAACCTGCAAAACATAATTAAAAAAAAATAAAGCATAGAGAAAATAAAACAGACTATGGTAAAATGAAAGTACATCCACATGTGGAGACAGTTCAAAGTTCATGCCCATAAAGCCACAACACAAGCCTGCTCAAGTTGAGAGTTAATAAAAGCCGTCAGTTTCCATCACGCTCCACCTGTTAAGATTAAAATAAGTCAGGGAAAGACAACTCTTGTGTGCTTTGTTCAGCCATTGATCAGTCATTCCTCATGCGGAGAGAGGTAGATAGAAATTACCCTGAGGGTTAAGGCCGGGTCCGTAAACTTTGACCCCGCTGAGGTCAGCCTGGGTGAGAGGTTTCTCTCCGGCCGTGGGTCTGACTCTACATTTGAATGGCGACTCCTTAATGGGCTTGTCATCATAGGTTACATTGATAGTGTACTCTCCTTGTTCTGTTGGGTAGTAGGTCACTGCAACAGTACCATCGGGATTGGACTTAGTGTCAATGGTAGCTTCCTTGGGTCCTTCAATTCCCACACCGATAGCTCCTGGGTATTTGGCATTCCTAGCATCCACAGTGAAAACAGCTGGTTTGTCGGTGACGGCATTCTTCAATCCTGGGCCATAAGCCTTGACACCACTGTCTGTGGTATCGATCTTCTCTCCTGTGGCTGGGCCAATGTGTACCTTGAAAGGTGATTCCTCCAAAGGTTTCTCATTATGAGTGACCTCCACTGTGTAATCTCCTGGCATTGTAGGAACATAGGTGGCTCCAAAGGTTCCATCTGGGTTAGACTTCATGTCAATCTTGGCCTCTTTGGGTCCGAACACCTTGACTCCGACAGGTCCCGGGACGGTGGCCCTCCTGGAATCAATGGTGAAGCTACAGGGTGATTCGGCATTTCCTCCCTCCAGACCCGGTCCGTAGGCTCTGACCCGAGAGTCTGCCACATCCTTTGTGACCTTAGCCTTGAATGGAGAATCCTTGATGGATTTCTCTCCATAGGTGACATCAATGGTGTAGTCACCAGGGGCAGAAGCTGTGTAGGCCACATCAACAGTGCCATCTGCTTTTGGGGTCAGTGTTGGTTTGACGGGGGCCGGGCCCTTGACATCTACGTCCACCTTTTGGTTCTGGGCTGGGGCTCTTCTGGCGTCCACTGTGAAAGTGGCCGGAGCATTGGCACTGGCATTTGTCAGCCCTGGACCATAGGCAATAACCTTAGAGGCAGAGTCATCAGGCACAATCTTAGCCTTAAATGGAGAATCCTTGATTGGCTTGTTACCATAGGTAACATCAATGGAGTAGTCCCCAGGTTTGGTGGCGACATAATCCACATCCACTGTTCCGTCTGGTTTCTTGGTCAATTTCGGTTGAACAGGTGCTGGTCCACTGACTTTGACATCCACATTTTGCTTGGGAGCAGGTGCTTCTTTGGAATCCACAGTGAAGGTAGCATTGACATTGGCACTGCCTCCAGTGAGACCTGGCCCATAGGCCTTGACCTTGTCAGCTGCATCCCCTGGTTTGATAGTGGCCTTGAAAGGAGAGTCCTTGACAGGTTTTCCATCGTAGGTCACATCAATTGAGTAATCTCCAGGCTTTGTGGGGGTATAGGTCACCTCAGTTGTGGTGTCTGGCTTCTTCTTCATGTCCACCTTAGCAGGACCTGGACCCTTGACCTTTACGTCAACTTTCTTCTCAGGTTTAGGTGCCTCCCTCGTGTCCACGGTGAACACAGCAGGTTGGCCCTCGCTTCCTGTGGTCAAGCCATCACCATAGCATTTCACCTTATTGGCAGCATCTTCTGGGAGGATCTTAGCCTTGAATGGAGAGTCCTTAATGTGAGAATTGGCATAGGTGACATTGATCTTATATTCCCCTGGAACCTCTGGGTAGTAGGTGACTCCCACAGTTCCATCAGGGTTCTGCTTGGTCTCAATTTTAGCCTCCTTGGGTCCCTCAATTGTGACCCCAAGTTCTCCTGGGGAAGTGGCAGCACGAGAATCGATGGTGAACTCGGCAGGGGCTTTAGCATTGCCCCCTTTCAATCCAGGACCGTAAGCCTTCACTTTGCTGGCAGCATCAGGCAAGACGTCCACAGTGAAAGGTGACTTGGGAACAGGTTTGCCTCCATATGTGACCTCCACTTTGTGAGCACCCACTTCTGTGGGGGTAAAGAAAGTCTGGAAGCCCTCGGTGATGGGTTTGTCCTTGAGATCTACTTTCTTTTTGCTGGGCGTTGTCACGGTGACGCGAGGCGTGGCAGTTGATTTACCAGCGGCTTTTGTGAGAATCTGAATTTCTCTTTCTTTATTGACTGTCATGGCTACAGAAAAACAGTTGCTATGACAACACTACATATATTAAAGATGTGTATTGAAACACAAAGGATAGAATTAAAAATTAATCATTAACATTTAGATAGGAAAAACAAGTATAAAATGGAAGCAATGTTAAAATTTGAGAGGCAGAATTTGAAAAAAAAAACAGGTCTGGATAAAAAGTTACAGATAGGGGTAATTTAAGTCTTTCTGTATTTGAATTTTATCCAGGAACAAATCTTTATTTAAGAATTGAGACAATAATTTTAAAGAAACTGAAAAACTAGAAAAGGTGAGTTAAGACGAAAAACATAACCTCCACCAATTAACTCCCAAAAATCAAAAATGAAACTGGGTCAGGAAAATGAACTTACGTGTGTCAAGTCCCACGACCTTGACCTTGCTAAGGTCAAGGCTGGACTCCACTGGTACTTTAATAGGACTACTGGGTATCTCCTTTCCAGCAAAGTAAACAGCCACCACATAGGTGCCTGGGTTAACTGGTTCATATTCCACTCTGAAGGTTCCATCTTTCTGGTCAGTTGTCTTGACTGGTACGTCGCGTCCGTTTGCGTCGGTCAAAGCGATGCCAATGTCGCCTGGACCAGCGGTGGTACAGTCCACAATGAAGTAGGTTTTGACATTGGTTTTCACTCCCTTCTCCACACCAGGGCCATACACTTTGACATTAGCTGGTTTGCTGGGCTCTCCAACTTGTACCTACAGTTATTAATAGAATTTGACATTGTGAGCAACTTTCCCTTTTTTGATCTATCAGGAGGAACAATACAGTTCAACTTTACGCTTTTGATTGAAGTCCAACTAACTTTGATACATTATTTTTTGTCGGAACTTTACTTGAATATCATATAACTTATGAAATTCAAAGTTTTTTTTTAAATTTGAAGATATCTGAGAATAATTGAACAGTAATTTTGAGCATAATTCTTGTTAAGCTCCAGGAAAATCGACTTCTTCACTATGACCCTCTACCCAATAAAAAACAATATAAATTATCCCCCACCCCCTGTATAACTCTATCCTTACCCTGAAGGGTGAGTTGGGGATCTGGACCCCTCCCCAGGTGATGGTGATGGTGTGTTTACAGGACTTTTTGGGCATGTATTTACACTGGAAGGTGCCGTCCTTCTTGTCCACAATCTCTACAGGGATGGGTTTCAGGTCGACGTCCAGACAGCTGATGTTCAGTGTCGCCTTGCCTGCCTTCTTTGCGTCCACGGTGAACTCTGTCCATTTGTTCTGTACCACTCCTGATTTCTCCAAACCTGGTCCAAAAGCAGTTACCTGTGGAAATTTTAAACCCTTGTTAATTTAATTGTTATAAATAAAAGTTTTAGGCACCACCAACTGTACATGTACCTATACATGTTTTATGTAGTGCATTTAAAAATCATTGTTCCATTCACAACATTGAATTTTGTTTTGTTTTCTAAAGGATCACTTCATTATAAATAGGGATCTGACCTATAGGACCGGGCTTGGTTTTATTCTCTACAGAAAGCTTGTCGATTTCCGTTCTGATTAATGACATTAGGCTGAATACATATAACAATTTGTTTTTCCTAAATCTTTATTTCAGTGAGTAGAGATAGAAGGAACCCTTTTTATTGATTTTCTGAGTTTGTTATCTCCAAATGTAATAATTGATATTTGTATTTATTACACACTTAGTAATAAATACATGTTTTTTGCATATGCGATATGGCTGATGTCACAATAGCCGTATCAACCCTGCAGGGCTGATATGGATTTGCGGGGCTGATATCCGTATCAGCCCTGCAAATCCATATAATTTATCTATTAACTGGATATCACACCCTTAGTAAATTAAACCACAATAACAATACTTGTGATCATACACAATTTTTTGTGGGTTCATATTCTCTTAATTTTAACTTTTTGAAAATAAGGTTAATCTTAATTTACAAATACATGTAATACTATAGAATACAATGTATTTTCAAATTACGGATCAAGTGCATTGAAATATAGAAGTAGAAACAAACCCAAATCTTAAGAGACATTAGACTATGTACATGTATGTAAGAAGTCCATGCATGATTATTTACTTATTTTCTTCTCAACTGAATGTGTTCTGTATTTTATTACTAAGTATGTAATAAATATAATAAAACATACCCTTTTCCAATCACATCCTGTAAAAAATGAACACAATATCAGCCCTCGGGCCTTCGGCCCTCTGGCTGCACACCTGGTGTATGGTGAATAATAAGATATGGAAAAGGGTATGTATTATTCTCTATTTACTTCTCCTTGTGCATAAAGGTAATGTCTACTGTCTCTGAAATTAATTCTATTCTTTATGTCTATGCTATTTATCCGTGGATATAATAAAAACTTGCCATTAATGTGTGCCAATTATAAAGGCCTAAATGAAATCCAAGGGAGTGCATTTACTGAAATATGTAGCCAAAATCAATGTGATTAAATTCTAAGGAACATACGCAATTGAAATTCATCGCAGTTCAATGCTGCCAAGAATACCCGTATTGAGTAACACACAGTGAGTTATTTTTGTCCTCGGAGAAAGTGTGCTTAAACTGAGGTTCGTTCCACCTGACTGACAACTGTACATTGGATTGTTACGATTTGATATCTCTTTACTGTTTCTTATATCAATAATGGGCATGCATAAGGGATAGAAAATTGAAGGAAAAATACACAAGTCTATAAATTAATTAAAATTGTCTTTGAAAAGGCGAAATTTAAAACTTTATAAGTGTTGTACCAGGTGGATTCAAACCCCCGACTTTAAAAAGATTGTATCCAAAGTATAAAAGTCAGCGCATATATCAACTGAGCTAGTCTGACTATAATACTGTATGGCATAAATTTAAAGCAGATTATGAAAATCTGGTTTCCTTATTTTTTATAGGTTTTTTGTGAATTTCGACCCCAGGGCAGGGGTGCCCCTGTCTTATCTTAAATTTTTCCTTACATACTAACCTATCAAAATATCACAATTTTATTTAGGGGCAGGCCTGCCCTGATGGACTTCAAGGCCAAAATTCATGCAAAAATCAACGCTTTAAAGGGCAAAATGGTGTTTCGATCAACTTTGGAGGTTTATTGTAAAGTTGAAAATAATAAATTTTAGGTATAAAATACAAATTTAAAAAATTTAGACATATATACGGTAGAAAACAAGAAATAAAGATTGATTTTTGAATGTCACTTTTTCCGGGAAATTGTTCTCTCCTATAGGTCAATTCTTTTGTTAAAGCGAATACATCCTTTTTTTTTAATGATGTGCACTGTTGCCTTTAGATATGCCTGCCTGGAACTATTTGACTTTTTTATAAGATTCATATTCCAAACTTAGGTCAAGAAATTCATTTCCTTGCAATTTGACTTCTATGAAACTACTTCACGATATCAAATACCTTGACTCTCACAGAAAATAAGGAATCTGTTCTATAGCCCTGACACAAAACTACTTAAAAACAGATAGACAAGAAAGTGTTATACCATAAAACAGCCTGTTAAAAGGCAGGAAATAAAAAGTGTAAGTACCTGAGGTTTATTTAAAAGTTCGTTCAAGTTAGACATTGTCTGGTCCAGGGATGCATTAATTTCACAGTAATTATCTTTGTAAAATTTTTCCTGTTGCAGAAGGGAAAATTCACAGAACATCTCAAAATTATAAAATTCTTACGAGCTGATGAATAAAAAATTGTTGTAAAATACTAAAAACTTTTCTTTTGTTTATTTATTTTGTAAAATGAAAACTTTTGAGTTTCTTAAAAACATTTCAATCTTGAAAATTATTTCAAAAGATCTTGAACTAAAAAAAAAATTCAATTAATTTCAACCAGCATTTTATTTTGTGATATATGCAACTTTGTTTAAAATGACTAATGTGAAAGTGGATCTATGATACCTATGGACAGATAAGAGCTGTTGATAACTAGAATTTCAAGATGAAATAAAATACATATGCTAAGACATATTTTTCATGATGTACTAAAATATACATGAATGTATGTGCATGTATTATGTTTATACACTGAATGACAAAGGTACATTTAAATATATTTGGTATACCATTCCATCATTCTTATGGTTTTCTACTTACCACGAGATAAAGAAATGTGCATGACTTTTCTTTTATTTGATGTTTATATGGTGGTAAAATCAAGATAAAAACATTCAATTCATTCAAATGTCTAAAAATTATATACTTGGGACATTGCAACACATAGCTCATAAATGATAGATCATGACAATACATGTACAATGGCTCAGGCACATGCTGAATGGAAATATATCGATGGATATTTAAATACTTTTATGAGTTTTTAACATCAAAGGCTGAATCAGATACAGTTTGAGGTGTATATACAACAAACCTGTACTTCTTCTAAATCATTTTCTAAATCATTATTATCTTCCTAAAGGAAAAATATTTAAAAACAGAAATATATTTTATAAGCAGATAAGTCAAAACCCATCTGAACCAGATATGTTATTTTGCATAAAGTCTCTAAAAGATGTAGTCAGATTTAGGTAATATATCAATTCTCTTATACCTTTGCTTATAAAAGAGAGCTAGCTATTTAGTGCTTTGTTGTTTAAGATGACATTTCATCATTTTCTTATGCTTAAAAAAATTAATTGTACCAGAAAACAGCTAATTAACAACTGCATTAAACTTCACAATAAGCTCATATATTCTTTACTAATCAATAAGTAAACTCATAAAGAGTCACAAACACTAGAGTATATATTGCTTCAGTCACACAAGTACATATTAGTAATTCACTAGAGAGCCATACAGACTAAGGGAAACAATATTACACCACTGTAACAATAAGAATTTTCTTACCTTTGAGGCATTGAATGCCTTGGTCTCGGGTTGGATTTGGACCATGTAGGGAGATTTGGGAATGTCTTCTTCGTTACACAGGATGTGGACCGCGTATTCCCCAGGGGCGGTGGGGAAGTAGGTCACGTCCGCTGAGCCGTCGGAGTTGTCCTTACAGTCAATCTTAGCCTGGGACGGTCCCTCAATGGAAAATCCTACAACGTAATCATGGGGATTATCAATACAGAAATCAAAGTGTTGTAGTTCACAATTACTGGATATAAACATGAGCTTTTTGTACAACTTTTCAGAATCCACTTTTAAAAACATTTATTCACAAGGAAATGTCTTTCCTTACAATGATTTCCAATGTTTTCATATCTCCTCTTACACAGTATTGTCTTCAAAACAAAGAACAAATCTTCAACCCCAGTATGTACTTAAAGATAATTAATTCAAAATTATCAAAATCATCAAGAACATTTTGAATAAAAATATTCTACAAGTTAATTATTCCCCTTTTACCTAGGGCCCCGGTTTCTCCCATGGTTTCCACGGTGAAGCGGGCGGGCTGGTTGACCACACCCCCCTCGAGCCCTGGTCCGTAGGCGCGGATCTTGGACGTTTTAGCTGGACCGACCTCCACCTTGAATGGACTCTTGGCGATGTGCTGGTCTCCGTATGTGATGTTGATGATATACTGGCCTTGTTTTATGGGGACGTACACACATTCATACACTCCCTCTTCCTTCGTGCTCTTCTTAGAGGTACATTTGACATCAATTCCACCTGAACAATGTCAAAATCGGAAAATTAGACTTTTTTGCCACTACTATTCTATGACTCTTCTTTGAGAAAAACAAGGACAGGTAGACTAAGACTTTTTTATTTAAAAAAAAAGAGACAATGTGAAATTTAGAACATTTTTTTCTTGTGTCAAGAACTTGTTCAATATCATCCCTGCCAAAACATCCATGATAAAAGCTCAGAACACACTAGAAGTGGTGTTAAAGGAGTGGCAATGTTTTTTTTATGATATTCATATCCGACTGAGTAAAATCCCCTTACCTGGGCCAATGATATGGATTTTGACCTCAGCTGATCCCGCCCCTTTGGTGTGGACTTTGAAGTCAGCATTCTCATTTACTCTTACCCCCCGGGGCTGGATTCCTCGGCCTGTGGCATAGCACATCTTGGCATTGGAAGCTGTAATACAAAAAATTTGAATTATAAATTTAATATATTTAGAGTTTTGAAATGCATGCATAATTCTGAATTTTTCAAAAATAATTGATTCATCCCCCCTTTCTTTTAAATATACAAGGGGACTTCATCAAAATTTGCTACAAGTTCATTTACATTAGCTAGCTGATTTTATAAAGCTAAAACTGTTGGTAACATTTGTTGTATGAAATTTCTTCAGATAATGGACTGGCTTCATACCTGGAGAAACGTTGACTCCGTAGGGGCTCTTGGGAATCTGCTGACCAGCGAACATGATGTTAATGGAGTGCATGCCTTGCTCCATGGGGATGTACTCCACCAGATAAGTTCCCTCCTTCCCGGGAACGGGGGCAATACTGGGACGAATCGTGTCCTTCCTACCATGGGGGTCAAGGATAACCACGTCAATGCTGCCTTTACCTGCATCTGTCAAGGTCAAGGTTAAAGAAATATTCAAACACAGGTCAAGGTTGAATTTTAATTTTCATCAACCATGCATGTTGTTGCTGATAGATATGAAAGGGTTGAATTATTAAGTTTAATTCACTATCTGATGAAAAAAGCTGAGCATTTTCTAGATTAATGAACATTCACTATCTGGATTTTCAGTCTTTTTTAGCTATTGTTAATTATACCTAATTTCACAACAATTCAATTAAGGGGAAGATCTTTTGCATGAATCACAATATCTAAATCATTCTGAACTAGTAAAAACTTCTACTCAAGCTTTAGTTAAATTTGTCCAGTAGATAAATATGATTTTCTGAGTGAATAAATTCTAGTTTCTAAATAATTTGCAGCCCATATAACCTCTGATTACAAGTACTTCTACAAAATATATCTAAATATATTCCAATCCCTCTATTTACAAATACAACACCAAAAAGTGGATCATGCAATTTCTTGTGTTCATTCCAAATTCTAGTACACTGACACAATGGTCAACATTTTTGGAAAATTTTAACAGGTAAGCCAAAGAAAAACTTTGGGTTTGTTATTGAAACAAGACAGAAAAATATGAAAATAAAAATGAAAAATGTTCAACAAAAAGAGCAATGACAACATAGAGCCACAGACAATGAACAAAATGATAGAATGTGTTAGTCAAAGAATTCAGATTTCATGCTTTTATATTTTTTAAGTTTAGCACAAAGACATTTCACCATTATTTTCTTGTTAAAAGATTTTCTTGTTAAAAGATATCCAAGAAGGAATTAAAATTAAGAAGTTTCTGGCATGCCTTTGTGAAAACTATTAAGACACAGGTGATCAAATTTGACAGGAGTTGCTGCTCTTGGCCGACATGTGTGATTGTGTGTTTCATCCCTCAAAATAAGGAGTGCATAAAGGTCATGGGGTCCCAGTGGGAGGTTAGGGGGATCCCATACCTTATCAAAGCCAGAAAAAATACCCTCATGTCTCCCTTATATTCACCATTATTATTCAGATATGTGAGTATTTTTTCTGTGCTATGAAACAGCTGCTGGGAGTTGCCATGGTTACACAGGTGCATTGTGGGAAGTCTTACCTTTCTTTCCTGGGGCTACTACTATTTTTACTGCATCTATAGTAATGTGAAGTAGGGTAAAAGGCTGAGGAGTGCTCAATAATAACATATATGTCATAATACATTGACCAATAGAAATAGGTTTTACATCAAGAGAATGGAAAATGGTACAATAAAGCAGAATCAATATAATGCTGAAATTTTTACGATATTTAAGAAATGTGAAGTTACATTGCACACAAAGCTGTCAATTAATTATTTCAATGGCCAAAATCTTCACAAAATTATTACATTTCTTTAATTCTTTATTGTAAAATTTTTAATTACGATAAACCACCAAGGATTTATGAAACTAAATGTATATTCATCATTCATCAAAGTGAATTCAAAACTCAGTCACTGAATGTAATTGTGATTCACATTGTTATGATAAAAAAAAATCTGAAATTGCTTTAAATTATCTGATGAACATTTGATAGAATAAAAGAAGAGGGTTAAGAGGCAGTGAGAAGCTATATATTCTAGAGTGAGAGCTAATATATCCACCATATTGTACCCGATTTACGTAGAGTATATAATGTTACCTATGTCACTTAATAATTCTGCTGGAACTGCATCTAATAAAACAAGTCAGCACACACTCAAAAATCTAGTCTATGTATGTATACCAAGAATTTATATTGAGTTTGCATTCCAAGAACAAGTATGCACAAATGAATGATTGAGTTATCTCCCTTAGACTGTAAAAGTAATAACTGCTAAGATTACTATTTCTATCAAAAACTTTTTCCCAATTACTTTTATTTTGAAAAAATACTATGTATTATGTTTTAGCCCTTTAAGTTAATGAAAACAATTAAATGCCAAAAAACATGAATATTGTCCAATGTTTTAAAATTCTTGATAAGCCCCTGCAATTACTGCCTTGAATACAGACACACCCTGAATAAAAAACTTACTCTTTGTGAAGACTTCGAAGTACGTCCTCTTGGTTGCTATGACACCCGTCTTCTCCAGACCTGGACCCGAGGCTGTGACCTTGGTGGGGTCACCAGCAGCACCTTCGACCTTGACTGAAAATGGTGACTTGTTAATCTCTTTCTCTCCAAATTTGATGATAACCTGTAAAATATTTTAAAAAGATTTTGAAGACATACATTCTCATAGCTAAAACTTCATTAAAACTGTTTTTAAAAATGACCATTGTAATACTATCCCCCACAAAGTAATTAAAATTCCAGGCAAGGTGTATCAATCCTTGAGCTCTTTTATTCTCCAAAAGATAGCACCATGCCCTGCATTTATATTCCTCACATTGTCCGATGCAATAATATCTTTATATGTTTATCATTTTAAAAAATGCTAAATAAAAATACCTTGTTCTTTTTGCTCCTTTTCATTTTGAAGTTTAATTATCACTGACCAAACCAAGACATTCCAGTTGACTGTGTATCTTATTTACACACCATAAAACTGGACCACTTAACAACTTGTGTGTTTATGATTTAGATGGAATTTTACAGCAAGAAATAAAACCTAAATAAATCTGGGTGGGTGTCTTCTGTATTGACAAAGCCTTGTCAGCTTTCTCAGGCTCAAGTCATTTTACAACTGTAGGTAACTTTGTAAAATAGATGTATATGTGTATACTTATCAGTGCTTATGTGTATATCTCATCTTGTACCCCCCCCCTCCTTCAATACTGGGTATGTACACACTAGGCTAGGTCTGATTTCTACCCCCTCCTTCCATTTGCACACATAAGGGTCATGCCTAACACACAGGTTCCTTCTTTACCTTGTATTCTCCCTCCATATTTCTACAGAAGTAGGTCAGATTTCTCCATCTCCAACCAACCACTCTTCAATAACTGTATACATACTTAAGTAGGTCAGAGGTCTGTCCTGACTTGAACCCCCACCCCTCTCTTCCATAATTTCCTCCCTTACCTTGTATTCTCCCTCCATACTGGGTACATACACACAGGAGTAGGTCAAGTTTCTGTCATTATTGAACACAACTTCACACTGTAAAGAAAAATCATATCAAGTCAACATACAAAATAAAACAGTTCAATTACAACACTGATCAAAAGTATTTATCCTAATTCTTTTCATTTGTCCAACAATTACTTTATAAATCTATTTAATGTATTCATTTAGTCAATTAGTGCACCAAGCAATCGGCCTTAATATAAAATATCTGTAATCTTCAATATCATCATAATCTACATCCATTTCTGAAAACTGAACAACTTACAGTTTCTTTCTTTCCCTTGGGGTTCAGCACTGTAATCTCCAGAGTAGCTTTTCCTGCACTGAAGGTTTCCACGGTGAAGCGGGCGGGGGCTCCCACCTGGTTACCCTTGGGCTCCAGACCTGGCCCATAGGCCCGCACGCGGTTAGCGTTAAGGCGTGGTCTGACAGGGGCACCGGGCTTTAGCTTGGCCTTGGGGAACTGGGCTAAGTAGGTCATCATGGACATCTCGTCCACTTTGGGATTTGTGATTTCCTCGGGCTTGATAAGCTGTAATGAAAGAAAGAAACATTGAGTTCTGAATGTAATATCATATAAAAAGATGATGAACCTCTAAGACCAGCTTCCACAATCAAAGATAATCATATTTACTCACTTTCTTTTCATCTGAACAAGCCATTTTGGTTTTCACTATATATCTTACACACAAAAGTTTCAAAGCACGCATTAAAACATCACACCCTTGCAAAATAAGTCATTTCCACTGAAATACCCTACACAGCAGTGTACCCCTATAATCAATGCAGCCCAGCTGTAAACCTTTTTCAATAGGAGGAATTTTGTTGGTTCAATGAGGTAGACATTTAAAGCTATCATTTCTGTAATCAAATATGTCCATATGTAACAATGTTTCTAAAACATCCTTAAAAATCTTTAAACCATCTGTGTTGTTTGTTTATGTACATTCCATGTAAACAATCTACATAGATTCTTATTATACAGAATTTCAAAAAAAAAATCTTAAGCTTCAGCAAGCCTACTTGATGTAAGATAGGAGTTATCCCCCTTTGGATGTAAAAAAAATCTAACAGCAGCTCAATGGAAATCTGAGTAATTCATGATTTTTTTTTTTTTTAATTATACAAATACTGGGTGTTTAAATCTGACCTGGAAGTGTACAGATTACAGATAAACATCAAATGCACTGGCAATGAAGATATAATATTACACACATTTGCTTTTACCACAATGTAATTTGAAAACTCAACCAAACAAAAAATTGTTGACATGCAACCGTATCTATTAAATACAGATTTACATCAAAATATGATATCAGATTTAGACTTAGGTGATAAAAACAAACTATATTTCATGATTCTTTGCACAATTTGATATCGGCTTCATACGCAGGTCTCGGCATAAACATTTCCGATGTGTACAGAGGGGACATGAATCATTTCTTAGACTGGTTTTGTAAATCTCCAGAAGGCAAAAGAAGACTGTTATCTATGTCGGCTAGTGCAGTGTAGACAGTCAGTTCGGCAGACAGATATTTATTTCTGCCATGCCTATCTAGACAATATCAAGCGATGAGAAAGTTTTGATAATGCTGTCTGCATATAGTCAATTAATATTCAAATTTTATAGAAAAACAGGGAAAAAAATATAAACAGGATTAGCTTTTTCAACACTTTTCATATTTTTTAAGCCAAGAAAAAATTTTACAAATATATATATGTCTGCATTCTATACAGGGTGATGTTTATCTTTATAGTTACTTAGGGGTCATCTATTGCTTACAGCTTTAAAACTTGCACTTTGAATAAATTACAGATTTTTCCTTGTTGCTGAATAATTTTGTATTTTAAAAAGATTTCTTTGTTAAGTTTATGTTTTGAATAAATTAAAGCACATACTTTTTCTTCTTTTTTCAACTATTTGATCAAAGCTGAAGACTCATGCATCAAACGTAAGCTGCAGAAACATTTCCTTAAAAATGCCTCTCTACCACTTTCACTTTTATTTCAATAACTCCGCTATACAGTGAAACATGTTCATGCTGGATGTTGTGTTTTCTAAAATCTAGTCTTATATGATTGAAAGTTGAAGTTGAATCAATTGATTAAAATATTGTCTAATTAGAAATGTTGTCCAATTTGGCCAATTTCTTTCATAATCCAGTGGTTTCTGCATTTAGACAAGTTTACTCCAAATACTCTTTCAAGTCACCTATCAACACCAAACATTCAGGGACTGCATTTCATTTCACTTAGAATTTTATGAATTACTTCATACAATCCGAAAATTCTTACAAATCACCAAATTACGATAGTGACTATTTGTACAACATACAAAGAGATGTTCTGGTGTAAGCAAATTGCTTATTTTCCCTAAAAATAGATGATTTTGTGCCTAATTTTGTCTTAACTAGCCTATTTATGTTCCCCAAACGAAGTTGGGGAACATATTGTTTTTACTCTGTTTCTTATTATTATTATTATTATTTTTCTTCTTCTTCTTCTTCCTGGAACTTTTTTGTCCGGGAATGATCTTGTAAACAGTTCGTCCGATGTAGGTAAAACCTTTTTAGGGTTAGTAGACATGTTATGTAGATTTGCGGAATCAAGGTCATTTTGCGCGCAAGTGCTTGCAAGAGCGTGCACGTGCAACACGTGAAATGACCAATATAATAGATATAGCCACAACTGTTCTATTTTTAGATGAAACGCTTTGAAACTCATAATGTGAGGATATATTTAGTATAATGACGACATGGTGAAAATAGCAAGATCTCACGCGCATGCACGTGCACTTCGCTCTGATTGGCTGCAAAAATATCTTTCTTGTTTTTTGACTTTGAAATTTTGAACATAGCAGTGCATTAGGATATCCTACAACATGAAATAAAGCAATTATCATGAAAACACGTGCATGCACGTGCGTTTGTTGGCTGAAACTTTAAACAGCTATAACTCCCTTGGTTTTCAACCAAAAAGGATGATTTGGAACATAGATAGATATAATGGACTTCTACAAGTAGGTATGTGCACATGCATACAACTGCGTGTACATGTGCTGCAATCCGATTGGCTGAAAAATAACTCCCTTAGATGATTTTGTAGATAGATGTAATGGACTTCTACAAGAAGGTATGGTCACCATGCTCATGTATGCACGTGCGTGCACGTGAAATTAAAATCAAACATACACTTGAATGAGCGTATTTTTAAAATAATTTTGGATTAAATACTTTAATATTCAGTGTATTAAAAATATAGATTGTGTAGACAAGATGATATGGTCATGACGCAAATGCATTCACATGTGCACGCGTGCAATGCTAAAGTTTAAATGATTTTTGTACACTTCTTTGTTAATGTTGTTAAAATCTCAGATGCATAGAGTTTGTCTTATTTAATGAAGCTTACAGGGAATATGGCACCAAAAGGGAGTTGGGGAGCGTTTGGGGAACATCTGTAACGGTCCCCGTTACAATTAGCACTAGTTCATCTTGTATCTCTGAAAATTTTCCCCCTCATCTCCGTACATTTACCAGCAGGGATGCGATATGGAGCTATATTTTTACACAACCTCGCTCCCTCTCTGTGAGCATACCTGAGGAACATCCAGCCATTTCTCGGCGTTGTCCATGGCTTCTTTGGCATTTTTCTTGGCATTTTTAGGATTCCAATCTTCCCAGTCAGGGCAGAGACCTAGGCAAAAAAAGACAGGAGAGTTACACATCAAAGAAAGATAACTCCTTGACACTTAACTTCTATCAGGTGCAATCAAGGATGCTGCACTGCATGCAAGCTTGAAATAGCAACACTCTCTTTTTTTTCATCAAGGATGTTTTTAATTACTTGTATCCTTGACTCATGCTGCACTGTACGTAGTCTCTATACATGAAAGTTTAAGGACAGCCTTAAAAGTGCGCTTAAACCTTAATGCATCCATATAATTCTTGTCTGCCTTGGGTGTCACTTAATACTTTTTCTTTCTAAAGCTCAAGTTGAAAACACCTCCTAAACATTGTTATCTTAATTGTGAAGCAAGTTTGACAGGACAACAATGGCCCCTTTATAAATCTGCCCATAAAAGGGGGCATTTTTTACAAAGCCGAATTTTGACGCTACGACATTACAGGGTCAACATGTATTAATCAAAGTGTCTCAATTTACTATCGCATGTTTAAGGTAAAAAGGGTCTGATAAAGAAACCCAACTGGGTGTTCTCTATGTCAATTAAACGTGAATGTAAAAAGATGACATTGGAAATACACTAATATTATATGAAGCAATTAATGCAGAAAAAAGCTCGGGGGAAATTTAGTCATGACATATGTTGACTCAGCTGTGGCAACATTCAATGCAAACTTGGATAAAAATTATCACATTTTGTCTAAATTCACTTAAATGTGCATATTATACATGTATACTTAGATATATATTTATATATTTTTACACATACGTTTGTAAATTTGTAAAGCAATGAATGCACCTATAGCTAAAAATGTCTGACACTTTGAGACTTGAACCACATGCTATCAAAACTTCATGCAGTTTAATCTGTCTATCTTAAAAAAAAATGTCAGTTATTTATGTTTGAATAATCAAAGAACGCCCACTGCTAGATTAAAAGCCATGATACCAAAGTTTCCATCGAATTCCAACTGAGCGTTTTTAAAACCCGTTAGTAAAATCTTCTTCAAATCTTAAGAAAACTTTTTTTTAATGAGCGACCGGCAAATCTTGTCTGGTGTCATTGTGTTTTTGGCAGGTCAGTAAAGATGCATCATTTATCAGGTATTGGGTTTCATTTTCAGGTACACTTATCACTTTACTATACAAGGTTATACAAGCTTCACTTCTTCAAGTGATGCCTTGAGCAAATCTTGGTATGACATTTTCTTGGTTGATGTATAAATTATTTCATTCACTGCTAGAGTAAATAAATCATTTGAAGATTCCAATAACAAAACAGATCTGACATTCTATATACCAGGTAAACTGATCAAAAGAGCTTAGAGATTCCTATTTCTTGACATTTCCAATTATATGCTATGAATCAAACCACCCCATCCCCCACCCCCACAAATAAAGACAAGCACCCCACCACCTTATTTTGAAAAATTTAAATACTTGTTGTTCTAGTCCCCAGGTAAAATAAAATATGAAAACACTTGCTCAAAACTGCAGAGATTAAAACTGCTTGCACAGCAGATTATAATAAAACCTAAGGCTGGTTGTAATACAATATGTTGAAGTTTCATGACTGTTGAAGTGCAATTTTCATGGTCCAGATGTGGTGAGAAATGTATAACGTATTTTCAGTACAATTTCACTAGGCCAAGAAAACCACATTTTCACCACACATTCCTAACTTTATAAAATTCTTCAGCTGTCAAATTTGAGGCAAATTTTTTATAGTAAAAATTAAAGATTTTACACAAGACATTCCTTAATTCATCTAAGAGATTTTTTTTATAATTTTTTTTTTTTACCCCCAAATAAATTCTTGAAAATTTCTATATACCGTAAAACTCAGTTATAGCAAGTCGTCACTGGGCCCTATGAAATTACTTCTCTATATCCGTAACTCAATATATCCATGAAAGGAATTCGTTAAATTTATATGGGGATCCATGATAACTTCGCTATATCCGTGAATTCACAATATCTGTGTTTGAACTAAAAGAGTTTTACTGTAAAACAGACAAAAAGCCCTTTTACCAGGTCCGACAGCATCAACGAGAGCTCCGATGGCGCGGCCGTCGTTCCAATCTGTGCTGAAGTTTTTGATTGGTTGGTCGGGAATCTTGCTCTGGACCCAGTTGAGCAGTCTCTGTTTGGGGGTGGGGCCGCCCTCTGAGGGGGTCGGCTCCTCTCCCTCCCACATGGGCATGGAGATGGAATAGTGTAAAATTAGGGTCCATATTAACCCCAGAATGAGCTTGATCTTGCTATCTACGATGTCGGAGCTGTCTGTAAAAAAATAAAAGAATGGAATTATTAGACAATACAACTAGACACCATTCAAATGGGTTACAATTTATCAAATACAACAGGAAATGAGGAAAAATATATTTAAATATACAGTTGTACTTCTGCATTTACAAACTTCAATATATGAAAAAAAAACAATGAATTATTGTCAGAGTAGGAAGTCCCAAATACGTTTTCTTTTTGCACTTTAATCTTAGTATCTCAAATTCTCGGAGATATCTCAAACTGAAGAGTTTGAGATAATAAGGTTTGACTGTCATTTCAATCAGTCTCATTTCAAAGTTCTATTTAATTTGCAAAAGCATTAAGTAGAAATGTGTTTTCAGATGCAAAATGATCTTTCTAGCTTATTCTAAAGGATATTTCTTCTTTACATAAGAGTGTTACATGAGGTTGAAGGTTTCTGATTGCAGATTCAATAGTTTACAAATGCTGAAGTGTGCAGTACTTGAAAATGTGTACTTAAAGTTCAAAGGAAAAAGATATGCGAGCACTTAAAACTCGTTTTTAGTGGGCATGTCCCCTTTTGACCTCCTAAAAAGGTAAAGTCTGACCACTTTCATTTTCAAATCTTTAGTGGGTGTGTCCCGTAAATATCAGATCATACTTTCACTTTACCCTGTGTTCCCTTATCTCTCAATATCTGTGGAGTATATTTTTACAGACTTGAGAAAATTTACCCCTCCTGCCTTGCTAAACAGATTTCTGATACACATCTCTGTAAAGCTCAGAGAAGTCTGGTCATACAGCTGATTGCGGCCTCCGATAATTACAATCTCAAACCCAGTTGTTTACTACTATGACTTTCATCTTTCTCTGCTAAAACAATAAATGTTTTTTGATATTCTGCATTCGAAAATTAACTACCACAGACTTAAACTGCTGCTTCAGGTTTCTGCTGTGCAGGTCGGCCTCTTTGTATATAAGAAAATCTTTAAAACACATTTAAAACTTCTCAAAATAACTGCACTTTAATCCAAGATATAGAGATTTAAATTATGTGTAAACAGGCACTTTAAACCATGTGCCAATATTTGTCGAAGAATTAGCTTTTTTGAATAACGCAAACATGCTGTGTTTACATTTTTAATTCATCATATTTTTTTCTTCTTATAAGAGCAGAAAAAAAACTTTTAAGTGAATCATTTGATTGAATAGGTAAATCCTAAGCGGGCTATTTAATACCTTTTGTATATTTGAAACTCATCCCCTAATGCATTAGAATAATTTTAATGAGTAGTAGTTTTTTTTAAAAGGCATGTAAAAGTTTCCGTCTGCATACCACAGACATACTTTCAATGCAGATTTTGTGGTTTTAACGTAAGCAGCACCTTTCCTCAGACCGACCCAAATAAGGCGAGAAATCAAATAAGCGTAAAACATCGTAAACACCGGAGTTATTTACGTTATCAAAAGTTTCCTAACACGGGGGCACTTCCGATCGCGCTTACTATTACCAGTAAACACATTGTCCAAGCCTCTATTCAGACACTCAAACATGCGAAAAATAATTCCGCAAAGTGGTTATAGACACTTGTGGACCCTCGACATAGCATAAACCTGAGTCAAATACTTCACGGTCTTAGCCTTATAACCATCGGGGGTCAAATCTCATTACTCGGCATACCTAGGTTGTGTTTGTCAATTTCTTGATATCTGAGATTATAAACCTAGATTTATTAAAACCTGATGCTATATAACAGAGGTATAGGTTTGTTACTGATTAGGTGTAAAGAATTTTACCTGTACATGTAATATAATGCTAAAGGGAAACTGAAGTTTTACAAAATGAAATCTGATCTAATGACTACCTGGTGAGTCAAAGTGTACGATAAGCAGTTTTTTAAATTAAAGGAAAGGTATTTGTAACAGAGAGATCTGTGGATTGAATAATTACGAGAAAAAATTATATGTTATCCATCTCTGTCACACATCATAGTTTAATACATTATCACATAGGCATGTATGCATAAAAAATATGTGTGTTCCATATTTGATCAGGTAGGAAACATACTGATAAATGTTTAAAAGTGAAACAATTTGGAAGTTTTTGAGTGTGCACTTCTGATTAGGAGATGCAGCAATTAGAAATGCATGGGTCCCATCTGCCACATCTGTAATGGAGGCCTCATACGCAATGTAGTTTGAACTTTATTGGGTTCTTCCCTGGAGTTGAAGAGTTCCACTAGATAAAGGACCTATGTGCAATACTTTTAATCTCTATATATGGATTTGTACACCTCTTCTAAAACAAATTTTGAGAAAAAAAATCTGGAATTTATGTTTTGTAATTTTTGTACATTTTTCTTTGAATAATGCAAATATTTTCATAATTTGATATATCTTTTCAAAACCCCTGGTAACACATGCTGATTTTTTATCTAAGAACACGTAATGGTATTATAAAGTTTAATTTTAGAACATCTTGAAAAATTAACAGTAGGTAAGGTACCTTGCGTATGTCCTTAAGAGTTTTGAGAAGGTCCCCCATTCCTGTCAGTAACAGGTCTGTTAATCAGAGGCTAATTAACTCTTTGATCATTCTGCCCATAGTTACCTGTCTACACAAGAGATGCCTCCAACAATGACCTCCATCTAACTATAGGTACCACTCACCAAAAGTACATAAAGTACATATCTCAAATTGACCACCTGGTACTAACAAGGACCATTATTTATTTGGTTTGTGGTCAGTCAAATCTTTTCACCTTAGAATGTAAAGCTGTCAATATATGCAAATGTTTGAGTAGAATGGATTACGTGAATAGCCTTTTTGTTTACTGGCAAGAAATACTTTAACACCTTTCACAAAAGCACCTCTAGGGGTTGAAAGATTAATGATTTTAAACGCTTCACTTGTACCAACTTTTCCAGCTCCAATATGTGCATTGAAAAGTTTCCTGTTTTAATGCAAATTACACAAATGACGAAACTATTTTTCTAAATATATATAGTTTGCCTGCATTAGAATAATTTTTTTGAGTGGGACTGGGGGGGGGGGGGGGGGGACAATTATTAAATTATAAATCGGCATCATCAAATTACTTTTTTTGATTCACTTTTGTCAGCCAAATCTAACTGCATGACAGAAATAAAATCTTTTATAATAACATCTTCTTTTCAAAAATCGAGGTTTTAAACTACCAAAAAAGTTTTTTTGATACCATTTTAATTTATCTGTTTATCATCTTATTCCAAGTCTTTCCTTTACAAAACATGTAAATTTACTAAATATGACTCATGCAGTGTTTTTTGTACCTTTATTTACACTTAATTTGCATGCAGGTAAGTAATTATCATAAAGTTACATATATCTGAGAGTTGAATGAAATTCTTGCCTGATGTTTCACCATAAACACTTCAACAGCACAATCAAATGCCTTATCATTAAAAAAATTTACGATTTTGATTTTGGTAGAATTTTGACGTAGGCGGACAGGTATACGCATAGGTATCTGCAACAACTGTAAAATCTTACGTAGGCTGTGAGAAATCTTATCTCTTAGTACCCAATAAAAAAGTTTTAAAAAAACATCAAAGTTTCTTGGTGAATCACTCATAGTAATCTACTTGTTTATTTTGCCATCCCCCAAATTTATTTTCCGTAGGGTTCTATCTTACATTCTTACAAGTTGCTGTGCATTGTGGGGGATTAATATTCCAGAAATGCGGCTAAACATAAAGTGAGACATTGAAATGATTCTCAAATCAAATATTATAACATTTTGCAATCAACACGTTCAAGTATCTGCAATTAATATTTACTTGAAAAATTATCATAATGTTCATTTAATCACATTAAGGCATTTTCAAAATCAGGGCCGGTCCATGACTTACAATGGACATATTAACTGATATTCTAAATCTATTCCCCAATATTCTTTCATTCTCCCTACAATAATCAGCTTCCACTCACACAGAATGATCGAGCCCCCTCCCACCCAACAGATGCGTTAACTCAACATTCGAGTATATGAATCTACCAGTGTACTCAAAACATCAGTGCTTATAATATAACTGATAAGAAGGGAGAATGTTTTGCGATTGTCAACACATTCCTCGCGGCATGGAGGGGAAGTGGAGACACTTCAGGGTGAACTTTTACCCCCGCAGATTCCGGAAATCAGCTCTTTGTGAAGTACTTAAAACTCGTGAAAATTCGATTTGTAGGTGTTACACCAAATTACAGTAGTTTTGTAAACCCACAGTTCCTTACTCGATACTTTATTGAATGGACAAATATCGCAGTTAATTTTAATCACCACATACACATGCATTATAAATATCGTTTACTTAATATTATTTCCCAGGTACTCTAAATTACATGTTTTAATTGAAAGGAATATGGCATATTTATGTCATAACTTTAATTTTGAAATACAAAATCCATTACGCACTGAATTACATAACACTGCAAGCCCTGCAGCACTTTAGAGAGGATTGCCAACCTCATTCTGTAAGCATGTCTATAGCCACAAAATTACGACAACCAACAACCAAAATTGAGAAGTGCTTGAAACCACAGGCTGTATAGTAAACATTTGAATTCAACTGCCTCCATTTTAATGTTAAGTTTCAAGGTTAGCAGCATGCAGTTCTCAATGTAAACTCATCTCCCAGACAACATTAATTACTCTAACCCTAGGCTATAAATGTCACCCTGTAATCTATAGTGTCCAGCTTTAAAAATCAATTCTATATGTCTTATCTGTCCAAAGCTGCTCATCAATTGTGTATTGACTGATTTCATTTGAATGGAAGAGTTATCTGCCCTGATAAAAAGTTGCAGAAACCTTAATCAATGGCCCCTGGTATGTTAGTATAGAGGCAGGTCTTTGTCATTGAAGAGGGAATCTATAGATAGATGTGGGTCACTGGCCACTTTAGGTGATTTTCGGGTAGTTTATTGCCTCAACAATTACACGTGTAACAGGAAAGGAGAAAATGCATGGCTGGACCGGGAATCGAACCCGGGACCC